AMYTMTTTGCCAAGAAAAACTGTTTGTACCCGTTCAAAAACGAATAAATATATCAACAAACTTTTTGCGCACATCAGTATTTTTTTAAATGAATGTAAATTAATCTATTGAAATTTGTTCCATATTGTATTGACATTGATAGATTTATGGCGTGTATCAAAAGAAGGCTTTTTTATTTTGGGGTTTTAGACGTCATAATCGGCGTGCACGGTTTGATTTTAATATTTTTAATGCGATAGTTGGTTTGAGTCCTGAATTGTTTCTCTGGGAACGCGCACCTGTCATAGCTATCATCCATGCATCTGCACACAGCCCATGAAAGTTTGAATGTCCTCAGCCCAATTGTTCCGCGTCCGATAAGTGGCCAAAGAGCAAAATTTACTAAAATTAATCAATATCAAATGAAAATAATTCACATATAATCTTTGAAAAAATTACTGTTTCCTCAGTGCTGACCTAGAGGGGAGTCTTCAGTCGCTCGGTTCTCACTCGGAGATTTCCCCTCTGGGTTCGCTTATCGCTAGTCTTTCCACAGCGAGCCATTCTTCAAGAGCTGAGTAGTATAGACTCGGAGAAATGTTTGGCATTGTATGGTTACTTTCAATGATGCCATCTGCAAATAAAACAAAAATCAAACTAAATTGAAAACATAACGTTTTTTCTGTTGTCGCACGTCACACACGTCATACTCGTGGCTTCATAAAGCTGAGTAGGATTAATGGAGTGCAAAAAAATTCGTCAATTTAACAGCTTCATTTAGGGGTGTGAATGTATATTCAAATATAAAATCCAAGTTATTGTCGATGACTTCTCACATGAACAAATCTAAGCCATAAGCGGAGTTAGTCTCTCTTTCTGTACGTTTTTCTTTCTACTGTTGGGCTCCCTGTCTTCCTTTGACCGAGGGAGAATGTTACACGGCAGAAAATGATCGAGCGACTTTCATTTCTTAGGGAGGAGAGGGGGGGGGGTATTTGATGGGGCAATGTCCCCGCTCGGGTTGCAAGCTTTTCATAGTAATACAGTCATATGCATCTGCGGTCTCAACCCGTTATACAAATAGTACTAATTATCACCCAAAGTACCCACTAAATAGCGCGTTGAATAGACAATAGGAAACAATTAGAGTCATAACACTTGCACCGTGAAATATGATCAAAATAAACAGTAAATATTAGTGTCTATTTATTGACTAATAGCTTGATAGGCCCAGTCCTCAAACGACTTTTCGTGACCGCACATCCCAATTTAATTCAAAGCGACGATCAGAATATTTGACATAAAAACTCATGAAAATTTTTTTGGATAGCATTTTCTTCTAATGAAGTTGTAAGGACCTTGTTTCTGTGATCACCTCTACCAGTCTGGTAGGAAACTAGAGTCTAAGACCAAAGCACACCTCCCTCTGTTGCAKCCATACAATTTTAGCGTTAGTTTCGTACCCGGGRTGGGGAGGGGGTACTCGAACCCGTTTTGGATAGGTACGTGCTGCCAGTGGTCTAAAACCCTGACCCTGTTTAAGACACTAGGGCTGCGTTCATAATGTATACCACAGGGGGGGCAGGTGAAATCAGGGGAGGATCGTAAGGAAAAAACAACAAGTAACTTATCATTGTCTTTATTTTTTATTTTTGCTTTGGGGGGTTGCTAATTTTTCCGTTAGCAAGACCAAAAACCATACCCTGGCCAGCGGCACGTCCCCGTATAGCAAATATGGTTCGTGAGGCATAATTTKTGTTGTACAACGTTTGTTTGTCCTACATCAAATAATCAAACTATACTGCTAATATACTGCATTGCACGCAAACAAAATGTGAGAACCAAACACACTCAGTTACCTATACAGAAAATACCTCACYAACAAACGAACATGTAAATTAATAAAAACAGACAAACAAGTCATATCGACTTCTAAATATAATCGATGCAGCCATAGTCAAGACATACTTCTTCGAAACCATCTGCAGAAGAAACTAATTTCCATACTTAGAAGCCCCCTCTAGTATTACTTTATTGACGAGCCATTCAGACCGAACAATCTTGTCACCAGACCATTTAGATCGGAAATCTTATAATCATCTTCAAATTGTACAAAACAGATGATATCAGTGCTAATTCTGTTGTTTCCTCTTGTCTTATTAGCATTTTKAAGTAGTACTAGCTGTGCAGACAACGGTTTGCCGGGTCTGTGGGCATTTTGTATTCTAATATCAAGTTAGTCAACCAAGGCGTATCAAGTGCTTATTTGTCAAGATCATCAACACACCCACATTTCARTCTTTCCTATTTATGCACAAATAAAACTCCTTCGTTTCCTTTCTTGTGAAGGGTTAAAGTCAATAAATCCCAGACAAAGTACTTAGACACTTCCACTTTTTGGCTCTATACTGCGATAGTCAATTTCTGTTATAGTTGGAATCTGAGTTTTTTAAATTCATTTAGGCATCATTATAAATCACTGTTTTAAGGAGGTTTCAGTCGGTACGTGGTTTTTTTTCCGATGTATTTTTCAAAGACAATAACACATGAATATCAAGAAATGACAAGCGAATCGAGTTTTGTCAAAGATCTTCCTTATGTTACATGTAATAATGTTTCATYGTTGAATGATTACAATCCATCATCAGGCTTAAAAACATTGCACTTGTGGTACTCATGATCCTTTTCGGTCTGTTCGTGTAGGGCTGGTGCATGCAGCGAGCAGCAGTACAGCGGTTTTAGACATATAGGAACCCGGCGGACATCCCCGATCATGGCAACCCCACAGTTAGGGACAACCCCTGACAGCTTATGAACAATTGGGACACCCACCTCATGTGACAAATGTTTGTATTCACAAAGTACTTACGGCGGATATCCCCTCATGGCATCCCACAATCAGGAACACTCCCTGACAGCTTATGAACAATTTCAGCACCCACCTTATGTGTGACAAATTTCTCTATCCACCCCTCATGTAATATAACGCTTGCACTTAAAAATCTTAATCCAGTGTGTGTGATGGTATTTTGAAGACTTGGCCGCGAGCTGTGTAAAGACTGTGTTTTCTAGCACATTCCGTAGTGTATGCACAGCAGTATATCTGAAGATGTGAGCAAACGAAAACACGATATAAATGGCGTCATCAAGTAAGAATGAAAGACATCCACTATTGACATTACCAAATCAACAACAAACTCAACAATTTGATCAACACTTCTAACCATCCACTTGTGAAGTTTATGCAGTTTACTATGACCTAATGGTGTTTCGATATTCGATTGACACAAGAAGTGAAAAGAGAAAGAGGTACTAGTGATGTGTATTGAGCAAGTTTCTTAATACACAGCATTGGTCTAAAGTAATAATAATGTTTGCAAATACCTGACCTTGCACATGAACCAGAAAAATGTAAATATTCTATGAAGAATGCATCAAAACAACCGGCCGGTTTTCTAATTCAGATAAGCCCTGAATCAACATAGGGTTATCACATCTACCCCTATGGCAGCCCAATTTGCACTCAGATTGCAATYAAAGAGAAATTAACGRCTCACACAGACCACTWATAATCATAAGTCATTCTCAYTRAAYTGGTTTATTGGTGCAAATTAAGATAAATGTCAAGAGGGAGTGGGGCAAGGGTTACGTGCCTTCTGTGACGGAAGCAAACAACTTTGTTGACTGGTGTTTAGGAAGCTGCAGTCAGCCCACGTAAAGCTTTYTTATAAATAATACGTGCCTTTGGATATCTCATATCACAACAGTCCATCGTGTAGCTAAGACTAATGTTAATCACCATTGATCATCGTCAAACCCTCACAAGGAATAGAACACCGGAGTTGAAAMATTTTGGTGAGTTTTTCGAACTTTCAAGAACTTTATATAATTTCTGGCGTTTCTTAAGCCGGCTCTTGTACACCTTGTATTTTATAAGCTTTGTACAGTACGATTTTCTCAAACAAACCACCATTTATACTTCGTATTTCTATAACTCGTAACCGAGTGCGTTTCGAACTTCTCTGCTGTCTTCCACTTGTCAGAAATGTTCAGTTAAATTGACGGAGGTTTTCGAATATCGAATTGGGAAAGGATAAGTCACTCCGGTTCCAACATTTTATAATTCCTTTTGTATTTTCATTACATAATTGTAGTGTTTTTCATTTTATTAATTCGAAGACTACTAAATACTTCTGTTGTCGGGTCATTTTCTCGATTTGAGATGAGTTTTRGACGATTTCCTAGAACTGTGWTTGTCGCACCGTCGCTCCTCYGAAAAAAAGCTCCACCATTGCCACTAGCAGGTAGAATAGCTTAGGAGAACTTAGCATAGAAATTAAATTTAGAAGTTCAATATTAACACACAACCCTCTATCTATTGTGGTAAAGAAACCTCTTTGAGTAAAAAGCTGCGACAGGGGACTTTTAAGACTTATATAAGCCTGAAGGTCAAGAGAGTGCAGTATGTTTAAAACAAACATATCAACTAGACTAAATGACTCGGAAAGGCTTAATGTAACGTCATCCGCACTCGACTATTTCCACTTTGGTCCCCCTGTGGGTGAGGAAGAGGAAATTAAGCGGGGGCTGGGTTTGACGTGTATTCAATCTCAGCCTACTCGAACTGCTACTTAGATAAACGTTATAAATGTTAGTTTTCTGACAGGCATATGGCTAAATCTAAAGGCGGCTAAATACGAGATACAAAAACMWTCAACTTGGCGCGCAACATTGTTTCTGTTAAAGTTKAGYATCAAAGTTTCTCGTTTTTCATGCATCGTCAACTTGTTATGYAACAAAAATACATCGTGAAAAACGAGAAACACCGATGCWCAACTTGAACAGAAACAATGWTTCGCGCCAAGTTGAGGGTTTTTGTTTCTCGTATTTAGCCGCCTTAACAGCTTCCCTAACTTCCCTCTTTCTCCATGACGTCACATCAAAACAATCTWTTGATTRACCGCTAAGAATTATGGTCGCAAGAAGAGACGCTAGTCAAAGAAATACTAACACGATAAAACAGCATTTAGTAAACAGACAAGAGACCTATGACAACAAAACACTATACATACAGTATCAGGAAATCATAATAACAATATATTTGAAAACTAGAAAATCTGAAGCGAGCTTTCGCTGGAGAAAGGAAAATTTGGTACAAATCTATACTGTTTTGGGTGATTCTGAATACCATTAAATATGCCGTGGCGTCATAATGAAAGATGGAATTATCATTCCCACACAATATTTCTCATAGGAAGATTTATTATAACATAATGTCAAAAACTGTCCTACTTTTTCATTCTGAAGCTCAGTTTCTAAATCATCATTTCGCGTGGTTTTTACMATTTTCCCTCGAGAGGAAAACAGTCACGTGACCATACATTAATGAACTGACGACGATAAATAAAACGTTACAAAGTATACAAAAATAACCTGTACTAGGAATAAGAATAACAAGTTGATTGCGTGAGAATYAATATCGACCAATATCGCACGACCAACGCCTACGTGTGTGGACCCAGCGGGGATATTTATAAAGAGACGCGTCAATCAAYACGCGAACAGAARAGAACAACCAGCTAACTTTAGCGCCGGSGCCTTTTGCTTGAAAGTGAGGGATAAAATCCAAATACGGTAAGAAAAAAAACTCATGTCCTGCAACAGTATGTAGCGCCATTTGTGGCTGCGTAAAATTAGCGGTTAAATTTCTCTTTCTTAGCGTACGTATTAGATATAGTAGTGATTAAATTACTACTTAGATATTAGACAGATAGAAGATAAAGATTATAAAATATTTCTTTAAATGATTCTAGTACCAAAAATTACCTTAGAACAGCGAGTTTCCTTAAATTTTAAAGTAACGCTTGAGACATAAAAATCTAASTGAATAATTTGTGTACAATCGATACMAWTACACTCGAGAAAAAAAWMYMTCAAATTTTTGATTTTGTAAATTAGCTCGAAATATTCATAAATTTATATTTGTTTATTTTTGTCTAATCTGAGTTATTTTTGGCTATTAACACTTCTTTAGAAATATTCTAGATTTCTGGCGGTGCCAATAGCAACTACTCATCGAAAGAATGCTAGTTTTTCATTTTTCTGACATGAGACTATTTTTAAACTTCGATTTTATCACTTTTTTTAAAGTAATATTAGCCGTTACATGAGTGCTTTCACGAATGAAAGATTYCTGTACTTTGCACTTATTACTCAATTTTGCTGACAAACTGTCGTCAATATGAGATATAAATAGCYGTTCCTCGGTTAACGTCTAATTTTCTGCTTCCTTCTCCTGTAGTGACGTCACTACTGACGTCAATATGACTAATTACCTGACTTGTGGGTCAAAGACGACTGCCAAGTAACTTTGTGGCTGAAAGTCCAACGCAAATGTTATTAGCATCTGTTTAAACTGATCGTTTTATGATTTATCCTAGAATTTTCAATTGGCATGTTGTCAAGCTTGCCTGCTGATAAATTTGCTCTAATTGCATTTTAAAATTCTTGGACTCGGGTTTCCTTAGATTTACCTCATCCTAGGTTATTGATGTCGCGAACATTCTTTCACAATTCAGACAAAAACTTGGGAATTTTTTTATATGTTGATTYGAACCGTCTGTTGTACTGACAGACACTGCAACATTATAACAATAACAAAGAAAAAGTGAATCTAACCGACGGTGTTTTAGATCGATATGTTACTGCTAAAGCACTTTTGAGTCAGTACTGTCAGTATCAAGTTTAAAAGACGTCAGAAAAATTCATATAGCGACTGTCTGTGTGTATTTTTGTAGGAATTAGAGAGATTAGAATACGAAATGATGTATACAATAAACTCAAAGGTCAAATAGTCTCGTTCATATGTATTGTAGCCCATCCGGTTCAYCAGAAGGTTGTTTACTTCAGTCTTGAACGGATTGCAAAKGCTTCGATAAAATCATACTAACGTCTGTTCTACATTACCTCACAAAACTTCACTAAACTTTGTGTTTATAACAGAGAGGAAAAATGAAGGTAAACGACTGTATAAGTACAGTGATTTAACCAGTTTATAACTTGTTTGAATTTTTCCTAAAAACTGCGGAACTACAGATGGCTGAAGAGTTTTATTCTTTAGAGMTATAAAGCTTAGCTATTGTAGCATTACTTAGTTCTTCAAAGAACAGACGTTAAACATCGTCAAGTTGCGCAATCAACTTCCCTTGTCAGMAACAAGTGACCTTGTAAGAGCTAGTAAAGTGAAACTCCCTCTGAGTGWTGCTTTGGTCTTCAAGAGATTCTAAAATTACTGCCGTAAAACTGAAAACTGCTTTCCATTGCCAAGGGATCGTATATATAACATATATCGATCTATATCCGATGGAATATTTCGCATACTTTGCTTTCTTAATTTTAAGTACTTGCACAAGGTTTTCACGACTGGACGATCATGCAAATGTACAGGCTTTATTCCTGTAAGTGCTTTTTAGTATTTCAAGATTAACTGCAATACAAAAGCTTCTTTCACATTGGTTAATACATTTGCATGGTCCTATGGTCTTGATAATCGTTTTGTTTGTGTGGGGTGGGACTTTTATTGCATTTTCCTACAAACAATATTGGACCTATCACTCTATTCGAGTATTAATGAAGTGACGGAGAGTATTGCGTTAATGGCCTCCGTCGAGGAAGTCAGCTTATATAACGAGGACAAAGTCTTCAGTATCAATCACGTTCGTGTACAGCTAACTTTGGTGGTTTTCAAATTAGGTGCGTCGAAAATTTAGAAGTCAAAGCCTTCCCAAATGCCGACATTAATTATGGATAGTTCGCCTAAGTTTATAACTTGCCCAGACTGTGGCGAGAGATACGATAATGCAAGGAAAAGACGACTTATCGACACATGTGGACATCCAAGGTGTTATTCTTGCTTGTTTGTCGACAATCCATGTCCTCTTTGTGAAAGTAAGTAAAATTTATAGAAACGTTTTTCTGCTTATTTTGAGCGCACGCGCGCAATCGATTAACGACCTGATTTTCGAAGTCAATTGAATTTTTTATGTGCAATATTCTTATTCTAAATACTGAAAAACTGTTTTATATAAAACAAAACGTTAGCATTTTGAAGTTTTTGAGTTGTAGAAATTGACTTTAGACCTGCTGTCGTCTTACGACAGCAACTGAGGTCTGCATGTACACAAACTTGCACAAACGCTTGCATACAAAGTAATAACACTTCATATAGATAAATCAGAAATTCTATGTAATATTTTCCAGATTTGTAAGTTAGTTTGTGAAGCAGAAATGGATTATGCAAAATAACTTAAAGCAGATTTTTTTGTTAGACAGGCACTGACTGCGTGAAGCACTGATACTTTTCGAGTTCGGACAGCATATTTACCAGGCTTCAAAAGTATTTTAATTACTTCAAAATRGCTTTTCAAATAAGGTTAAGCTTTCCATCTTGACATTTCTACCATCTTTTACCAAGTTGGTAGTGATTTTGTTTTCAAAAATATCCATAGAACATAAGTTTACAATAACAAAGGAAAGTGGACTAAGGTTAGAAACATATTTACCAGACCAGACCTACGAAAAAATCAAAAGAATTTTAATAGCATTAAATAAACACTCATGCACACAACTTTTTCAAAAAGTATTAATGTAAACTTTTAGTCTTGAATTTTCCAAAGTTCACTTTTGGCTTTTAAGAAGTTAATATTTATTATAGTGAATTCATTTGCGACAGCAAAAGTTTGGTAAGAGTASYCAGGTCATTCGTGTTTTCARCAAGTGCTTTCTTTAATGGCAAAGRCTTAACTGTCCTTTACCGTTTGTTCTTGTGATCTGTTAATTACCTAATCAGGACCACCTTTTTCGCACTTGAAGTGTGGCCATTCACAGGTCTGGCACAATATTCAACACATAAACAAAAATTTCAATGCTAAACYTGAAGTGTTTTTCTTTGTGCGTTTATTTCCCCGTAGCCAAAACATGTCAAATGTCGACTAAAACGGACAACTRGTGACTACTAAAGAGCTAGAGGCTAGAAAAGTGTTGTCATCGAGGGAAGCACCTGGAATTAGTCCAAAGTATATCCCTCGACACTAGCATTTCCAACAAACGGGACTGTCCATGTTACGTAACGTTATACTTATATTGCTAAAACACTKTCACTGACTGAGTTCATCTGCTAGAAACAAAACTAACCGCAATGCCAAAGRCAAAAGACTTTAATTCCCTTCCTTCCTTCCTTACTTCCCCATTAAATATTCCCGCTTTGATAAAAGTTCAAGGCTAATCCATGCGCGGTTGTTTACTCTGAGAAAATTACTATTTCACGAAACATCTTTGCTGTTTTATAGAATTACCTAAACAAAGACCCAGAGCAAGCTCCAATGCTAAAGAGAGCTCRGACGAAAGTCTTGATAAAGTCCCTCCAAATATCACAAATTTAAAAGCAAAAACAGTGGGGTCCCATCCAGATCTAAGCGAACTACACAAAGCCCGCTCGTCGACACTACCTCCGTCATTCCGCCAAGGTTAGTATAGAAAACTTTATATAATGAATCAACTTAGTTCCCTCCTCTTTTCCTTGTTCCTAACATAAGGTAGTTTGACATTTCCGACATTGGAAGGCTACAGAGCTAACCTTATCAATTATTGTTTCTTGACAGAGCGTGGGATTGTCGAATGTTTTCCCCTTAAKTGCCCTCTCTTCCGCCCTGTTATTATTCTATTTTTGCTGTTATTAACCGATAAAGAGCTTCTGTGCGACTAACATAATAATACAATACCAAATCATGAGAAAATTCTTAAACTGAAATTGTCCTATCTTTCAATAATAAAAACAGCACAGAAAATTTGATTTTTGTTGGTAAAGAGTTGCTGTTCTAAAGAAAAAAATTCCCATTAGTTACGTGACTGAGATTTTTGTCCTGTCACGTGTGTGATTACTTCTGCAAACAATACATATCTGAGGTTTAAGTCAATGCACGAAATGCAGATATTTAACAACACTCTCCTTTAATTTCCCTCTGCCTCCATTCACAAGAAAACGTGCTCCTCTTGCGAGCAGACAAGATCAGATTGCGACTTTTGTCTATGGTATACATTAGCCCAAGTTGGAAAAGCTTATTACCTCAAAATGACATTGYTGTCAAACTGACTTAAAGCTAATCAGAAATCTTGAACTCACCGGCACCCCTTTTCCGTTTATAGTCAGCCGTGTATGCTAATAAGAACCAATAAGAACTTAGCAGCAAGCAGACGCTACATATCATTCTATGCGTCTTTCAATTAACTCTGATCCTATTTCTAAAGGATCAAAATAATAAAGGTGTTCTAAAAGACGTCACTGAACGTCCAACAATGCATAGTAAGAAAGATTTACCGCTTTGAAGTTTCTTAAGATTTTTCCACGATGCTGAAATTTAAGAGAGTCAAATCGAAATCGAGCAATTCTAGKTGTACACCGAATGAGGAGGAGATATCGCTGCGAAAACTGGCGATTGCTCAAGGTTATTGTGAAGTGTTATGAGGGATATTGTGTAGTACTATTCAGAAAAGCTTATACCTTTTGTTGTTCTTCTACAGATAATTACTTCAGGTCCCTTTATCGGTATGAGCCTCATGGGTCATCAGGTAAGACTTGAATTATTATTATATAGTATAGCTACTATGAATACAATTTTGAGTTTTGAAAGTTTAAGAAGGAACAAACTGATAGCAGAATGTACTTCTGCTGATAGTCAACTCAAGAACTTACTACTTCACAGTACTTAGTTGCGACTATACTAACACGGCAGACTGCATAATAACCTTTATCTACGACAAAGGTTATAGATTTAAATAGAAGAAAACTGACTGGATCAATTTTACACTTAGAATCCCTTGGTTCTGGCAGCTCMAGCCCACTAACTGGAAGACCAAGAAGTATGCCACCAAGCTACCATGTGTCAATCGAGAACTTGAATGAACAGTTTTGGAAGAGTGTCGAGCTGGCCGAAAAAAAATGGAGCCCTAGACGTAAAAGTGAGTATAGTTTTSCTTRAATGACCTCTAATTTCWTWATATTTCTTCTTGTTCTTGCTCTTYTTCGAYCTAAGCAGTTCTAATTCTTCTTCCTCTTGTCTGCTTGAAATCCTGTCCATCAGGCTTATCGGTCGGAAACTATCCTTGTGGTAGTCCTATAAGTGTCACCCAAGGGCATTTACTGTCCAACATTTTGTACTTAAAAATATGTGAGCTATAAGAAGTCTTTATTGAGATGTTTTCTTTATTATGCTCACAACAAACGGATATTGGCAAACCGCGATCACATTGGCTAATCTTATAAGGATAAAAGMGTGATACAATAGCTCGTATTAGAGCTCATATCGTATATCTGTGTAWTTCTAGATAAAGAAACTCCACCAAAAAATCCAAAAGAACAAACAAATGGTCCACGTGCTGAAGTGATCGAATGTCCAGCACCCGATATGGTTCGTCTACCTGTACCAGCTTCCACTCACCCCAAGTCACAACTAGACAATCACATAAAACGAAGGGARCACAAGAAAAGTCTTCCTGTCAGCCACGTTATAGTCTCAGAACTTGAACGACCAAGATCATTCTCAGACATCGAAAACTTTCAAAGATGCGCAAGTGCAGGTGGTGATTCTACAGATGGTTCTACGCACGTGTACTCGCCACGCCCTCTTTCTTGGTCACCAACACAATTTCAAATGAACAATCGTGTACCATCAAGGGCTTCTAGCAGTATCTCAAAGTCAGACAGATACTCTGATTCCTCAACATCAATTAATCTATCTGACACATGGTCAGAAAGTTCGGATTCTGATTCAATTCAAAGTCCACTGGATGATAGAAATATGAAAAATCATCTGAGCGATCCTGTAGGAACGTCAAGCGACGAATCCCAGCAGAACCATTCACCACCAAGGAAGTACAAAGGAAATCCATTAGCAAATGTAACTTATTGGGTYGTTGATTCAAGGAATTCAGTTGAAATCCATAAAGGGTACACTGAGACTGACAAAGGAACGCCACACCATCAGTCTAAACATAGAATGCCACMTCAATGGAATGGACAAACCAATCATTCAATCCCAAAAGCATCTTTAGTTAGCGTGCACACTAAYGTCAACACAATGTGATAAGGGGTTTATATGAAGAAGACCATTTATCTTTGACAAACAGAGCCATCATTTAGGCACAAACATGTATGAAAGAAAATATTCAGCTTAATGTGCAGGTTTTTATGGCTGTCTCCAGGAACACAATCCTACAAAGCTGGCTGACAACATTCCACTTTTGACAAACCTAGAGTTATCAGGCAATGGACAACACAGGGACAATGAATGTTATTTGTATATATTATATRAGTCATTATTTCAGACTTGACATTTAAATTAAAGGACAAAACTAAAGACAATTGTAGGATAATCAGTCATGTAAGTTTTTTGTTGAATCAAAATTGCTGTGCAGAGGCTGTGTGTTTACCAATGAAGGAAAGCTCGCTCTTGGACCAATGAGAAAGYAGAGCAAATCTATAATACAAGGGTCATAATGTATATAGAATGAAAAAACCTATTCCATTTTAGACTAAGGAGAAAAGTAGTTGAAGATGTAAATAGATTAGAGTGATAACACTTAAACCGTGCAACTGCACAAACTAAATAGTGCTATTTATTTGTATTTAGTAAATCTTGCATGCAGTACGCAAATTAAATTGAATTGATACAAATGAAGCATTCAATACCGTCTTGCTTCAGGTCCACTTTAAGTACAAATAGACTACTGATTTTGTACAGTTGCACAGTTTAAGAGTGATCACTGGTGATGTTATATAACTAGATTCAGACTGTATTTTTTGATATTTTTGATATTCTTGATATACAGCCTTTTGCAAAAAYTATGAGAATTGTTGAAATATCTAAATATCATAATATCGAGTGTATGATGGGTAATCTCGCGCGATGCCCTTAGTCCCTTGTCTTTGTAGTTTAGTTTTTTTTGGCGACAGACTTATCCGTAGTTCTGAACATTTTCTCGATGTCAACAATGAATTATTCTAGCAAACCCGCGTGTTCCGGACAATATATGGATATGGATATTATGATATTTAGATATTTAGACAATTCTCATAATTTTTGCAAAAGGCTGTAAAAGCTAAAAGTGATTTATCATACATTTAAAAAAAATAAGATTTCAATTTTTAATTTTTTGATTTATTGTTTCCTAGGGAAATATAAAATGAGAGTGGAACAGTTAGCTTTTCTATTGATATATTAGTTTTAATCATTTTAGKTTAAAATGTCAAATAAAACAAAATATAATGTGCACTCTGTCTTACATAAATGAAGGGAAATGAAGTCATTTTGTCTGCCAATATTAAGTCTTAAGACCCAAATGAAGAAATCGGCTTTCTATCTATCTAAAACTTATTATAAAATAGTTGAAATACTTGCTTTTTTGCTAAAAAATTTTGAGAAACTATTTCCATTTCTATAAAGTCTGTAAAATAGCCTGCATCATACTTGTAGCAGATGTAGGACATATAAATAGGGGCTGAACAAAACCACACCATTTCATCAGCCAGTATCAACTATTCCCCTTCAAAGTTAGAARTGGATATCCCCACTAACCATTAAAGGTTACTTAAAAATCTGCAAAATCAGCTTAAGCACAGAACTTTGAGTATTTACAGTATGTAAGCTAGCAAATTTACCTGCACTTCAAACGATTTCAGGCCTTCCTGTATTTGATCATACTTCACCATCCTTCAGATCTGCCATTTTGTTTTCGACTGTATAACCACTGACCATACASATCGCATTACAACTTTCCACAGGCAACCCAAGTCGAATATGAAGCGACAATACAGAAAAGGGTGAAAACCGTGMAAAGCTCATTCAAGAACAATGTTACAATCTACTCCAATTTACAAGACTTTCATACATTTGTAGCAAAAATGATTTTTATTAACTATTTTCATCAAACGTACAGACAGTAATGATTTACATTTGTAACAGCTCAAGTATTTTGGCAGTTTGTAGGGGCGTATCCAGGATTTTTATTAGGGGGGACGGGGGGGTCCTTAAATACCAAATTGTCACTGTGACGTCAATTTTATGTCATATCAATCTATGGTTTTCCCGTTTTTTTGGCTTTGAAAAGAGGGGGGAGGGGGGGGGAGGGGTTACAGCCACCTTGGATATGCCCCTGGTTTGCCCACCAAGTTGAATGATTTTGTCCAAAAACATTTTAGGGTTTTTAAGCTTTGTACTTCTCCCAAATTTGACAAACATTTTCTAGAACTACACACTMTACAAATAACTCAATCACTTTTGTTCTCTTTGCTTGATGTGCAATATATATGGATTGYGGCTGTTTTGCCAACTTAATAATAATAGTATTTTTCTGTGCTATTTACATGGTATGGTTAATAAAGCAGGGATCAAAGAAATATTGAAGCCATTCACTGGTTATATTAAAATAGACAATTTCCAAGTTTATCAAATAACAATAACAGAGGTGAGCACACAAAAATGAGGGACAATGAATTTAGAGTTAAAAATATAATCAAACCACTGCCCAAAAACAGAGAAGRGTCTTTCATGCAACTTCCATATATGGTTGCACATAGATGGCACTGGTGTGCTCGTAGAAGCCTCTGATGTCCCAATTATGTGGAGAAGAACTTAGAAAATTTCAAAGACTTAAACTTCAACTGAAAAGAAATTTTTGAAGGATGAGTTCTAAGATTCGAACCAGCGCTATGCATTGCCTAACCTGATATTTTCCCTAAATTTCCTTGAGTGAACCTGAATTTTTGTGATATTTATGCAACGTCATGCATGAATAACCACGGATATGTACATAAGATTGAATATATACTTAATTAATGAACCATCTATAGGGACATGAGAGCCTTCTATAGGTACATTAGAGCCATGCATATGGACATCCATATATGGAAGTCGTACGACAACCTTTACTCCAAAAACACAAGCTCACAAGAAATATTTTTGAAGTAACTGAGCATTTAGGAAATTGTCTACTAGTATTACCAGCCGCTGCTGCTTTGGTTATTGTTTATTTATTTTTATTTCTTGCTTTTTGATTTGTTTTGATTTCCTAAAAATGAATGTTGGTGATGCAATTTGTATAAATCTGTGCCTCATGTGAAAATAGCTCAAAAAGTTCTAATGAGTTCTTAGGTGTTTTTTGGATGACAGTAAACATCATTGTCAAAAATGCAGCTTTTCATCATAACTTATATATCACTGTGAAATAATTTCCTTATTTTATGGCTTTCAATTCATTTTAAATTAATAAAAAATTTTAATTAGTTTTAGATACAATTAAAATATTATGAGTGGAGAAAACAAAACCCTGCATAAAAAATTATTGTGAACATTCTCATTACACTCATGTTAACTATTTCACAAACACTTTCTTATAYTCTTATTATGCAAGTGCCTGGTTTTGCTGACCTAAGTATCTGCTAATGAGGTTCTTSAGCATTCTATTAGGAGTGAGGGTCGAGTTTTTAAGTGGTGCATTGCTCATGGGGCTTGTAAGACGACCTGAGCGCATCCAGGACTCAATGGCACTTCGCTCATAAGAAAACCCATCTGAAATRAAACATATTTAATCATTATTATTGCACCACCGTGCAAAATGAATATAATGCTTTTTAAAAAAAGATATACACCCACTGCATAAATCTGGAATAATAATGATGATTGTGCACTTATGAAAAACTTAGGTTTTATTAAACAAAGTTAAACCCCAAGAACAGAGAAACCAAGTCCAATTRACAGAAAAAAGGCAGGAAAATCTGTAGACAAACTGATAGCACATACCTGAGGCAATAACAGGATCGGTCATGACTTCTCTTGATATTGGACACAGGTATTCATCAGGTATATTTCCATCAATTTCTTCCTTTTTAACATCCTTTAYACTTCGCAGGATTTTATTACGATGACCAACTGGTCCTAAGAATAGCACAATGTATGATACACAATAATTCTATTTCAATTGTCAACTCAGAAGACAGGTGGTTTGAAGTGTGCCTTGAATGCCAGTATATATGCATGTGTTCTGACTACTGATAATGATAATGCAGTTGTATTTCAGAGGGGCACGATAAAAATGTATTAATTCRGCACATGGAATACTAAGTCTCCTCTTGCAGCYGTTAYGTTCGTTCCCAGAGTGACCCRGGAACGAACGTCCTAACGGCTGCGAGAGGAGACTGCACTTGGAAAGGTTTTCAAACACTGCATCCCTCACAGAAACTGAATTGCCTTCTGACATCATTGCCCTGGTAAGTGTTTAAATATTCTTACCTATTTTGAGTTCATCAACAAGCATTTCCATGGTTAGGTTTGATAGTTCAGCACCATCAATAGCATTGTTCCTGAATATTTCTTCATATTGCTTTAATCCAACTGAATCTAACCAGGAACAAACTTCATCTATTGTCCATTTAATTAAAAGCTTTCTTTTGGGTTCTTCCTAAAACAGTTGTGGAATAAAAGATGAACTCAAAAAATGAAAGGGTGAACTCAAACATCTTTATAAAATGATTGATTCTTTTGAAAAACTTACTGGTTTCAGATTTGACATATCTTTGTGTTCAATTATAACAGCATTGGTGTCAAGACAGCCTACAAGGAAAGAAATACCAAAATAAAATTATAATAATTAGCATTATAGTAATGTCAAAATAATCAAAATAATAACACATCCTGTGATTGTCAAAAAATCACATTTATAGCACACCAAACATACACTGACTTACAATTCAATCATTTTCCTTTTGAATTTCAATCAAAACAAAACAAACAAACAAACAAAAATGGTAGAAATGGTGGTCAACTAGATACCATTATCATCCAGGGTTATTTTCCAGACTCTAACTGTCCTATCACCAGATCCTGTTGCCAGCCACTTTCCATCCGGAGAGAATGAGCAGCAAGTSACATATCTACAATGATTTTAAAACATTTTTATCCAAAGTGTAAGCAAATCAGTAAAAACTAAATACATCAAAATATCATTAAATACGTACTGTATACAAAACTATTTGGCTAAGAAAGTCTCTGTGGCTGAAACAACACAACTACCTAGCATATATTGAGCTCCAATGTGCACACGCAATGATGYTRTATTGAAAAAAMSCTCAMTTCYCACTTAGGAACCTKTTTATTGTGAATAGAAGTTTACGTCATATTCATACCTGGTATGTCCTGTGATAACATGCAGCAATGTTGCCTTGAGCTATGATATTATTAAACAGTTATTAATTTAAACTTAGTTACACTTGACTAATACAAAGTCAACATATAACAGTCAACTTACTGGATCCCACAAGATAACAGTTTTGTCATTGGATCTGAATAAATCGAGAAGAGTGAGTCAAGAGAGCTTGCTTCTTTAATACTTTCAATCTCCAACTGTTTATTTGTCAGAAAACAGTGCATGTACAGATATTTTTTAACTCTATGAAATATAACACTTACGCTGATGCAAGGATTTTTCCATTGGCTGAAAATTTACAATCCCAAACTGGTCCTTGATGTCCATCTAAGACACAACGTGAACCAAGATGGCAGTCCTCTGAGAAAGCTAAAACAAAACMATAAATAGAAGTGAGTCTAGAAATCTGGCAASTTAGAGSTTTTTCAAAATGACTTACCAGATCCCGTGAAGACATTCCACAGTCTCACAAGGTTATCATTACCACATGTTGCTAAGAGAAAATGTGGAGCACTGCCACTGGTATCAGTTGGCATGGGAACTAAAACATAAACAAATCAATGATAAGACAGTGTTCGTATGAGTAAAAAAACTTTGGAGACTTTCTAAACTCAAACTGACTTCTTGTATCATATATGTAATGCATTGTTGGATATCTTTGGAATAAAGCATGGTAAGGTTATTTTTTTTCTCCACAAACTCATCTCACAAATCAAGAAGATGGTATAAAAGCTTGAGAAATCTATTGCCAAAATGTTTCTTGCAGTGTTCAGTTATTCATACATTAGAAATTGTTAACTTTTATTGGTGACAAATAGTGTCAAGAAGCTATCAAAAAACATACCAATATTATTCCCATTATTGTCAAGTTTGTCAAGTTATTACTGACAATATTTTATATGCTGCATWTATCCAGTTTTTTTAATAAATCAAATATCATTTCATTTATTATTTCATTCATACAGTCTACTATTTAATGAGTAGCGTTAAAAATATTATTTTGTGCATTAGATCAATCAAGAAGTGTAAGTTGCTTACTTAAAGATTCATTATTGAAGGAAGAAGTAGGAATCAAGTCTGAAGTTGCTACACTTACACCAGACTCATAACATTCATCACCTGAAATCATTAAAATGAATTTAATGATTATTTTATTCATGAATTTAGGTTTTTTAAAYATCACTTATGGAGAACTTTCAATAAATGATGGGGCAAGTTGTGTTGGGTTTTATTGGCTTTAAATACATTTTTAAACGGCAGACCACAAACAATGCACAAAACAAAACATTTTTAACACAAGCTGCTACATGTACTTGCACTTTTAACTGACATTTATTTTGTTATAAGATACACCTAATTGCAAAAACATTGTGGAAGAGAAATATGATATTTACTAACAGATGTCAGGGCAAAACGAATACGTTATTAATTGAACAGTTAGGTACAAATGATAATATTTCTCTAGGACAAGTTTTTTGCCATTATAATCAAATTTTACGTACAAAATAAAGGGCTTTTTTAGGTTTAACAGAAAGTTTTAAATTATAAAAGAAAACCAGCATTCTAGCATTTTATTTTAACCCTTTATACATTTAAATATGTAATGCCTTTTAAGTTAATCAAGGACCGCAATGTTTATGTACATATTCATTAGTAAATCATGACCCATTATATTACAGTTGGTTTAAAAGCCACAAATTCATTCTTAAGTAGAAGTGTGGTATCAATGTGCAGWAGTTCAAGATTCTTATCACTTCAGACTTATCATAAATAAACACAAATAAATAATTAACAAAATGTTGCATTCTAATTTTTTTTTGCAATTTCTGGCACAATGTCAGTTCAACAACAATGAAAAAATTCATCCGATATAATTTGTATAGTTTGAACTGCAATCTTTTAATAAAATAGAGAGAGCTATTGTTGATAATTTCTTTATTTTAAATTCAATATCCCTGATGTTATAAATGATGTACTTTTTCACAAATTTGAAAACTAGCTTGAGAACCCTTGCTTGAACGTAAGCCAGTGTAGCACAAAGTCTCCAATGCAGTAGAAAATGAATTGCTTTGAGTTAAAAATTGGCAGAATGATTGAAAATACTGAACAGCCGCCCTTTTCAAACTTAAGCATATTTTTAAAGAAACACATYTACTTGACATGTGTTTTTCAGAGATTGTTTTTATTTCATTTTCTGGCATATCTTTCTTTTTTCACCTGGCAATGTCAAAAATATGCCTGAGGCCTACTTAAAAAAAACTGCCCATATATTTATGCAATGGGAAAAACTCTTATTCTGTTCAAGCACATTTGGTTACTTCAAAAAACAGCCTTCATCTAATAAGTTTCATTTTGTTCTATTCAGATTTAAGTTAGTTTCTTTGGAGTCAAATGTGGTCATTTAGCAATAGAACTGTGATGTTTTCATTTGACAAACATGGGAAAGTCTCCATTGAGCCCAATAAATGAAAATATCCATCAATTTGGCTCCAACCATTCTTAAACCATACGAYAAATTGAGGTCATATTTTCACTGATTGAAAACTCACTTTTCTAAATTAAAAATCAGTAGGAAATTATGTTTTTTAATGACAAGCACATGCATTTGAAGTAGGAGTAAGATTGAACTGCAAGAACAATGTAACAAAGCCATAATACAATAATTTTTTTCGAAAATTTGCTTCACATTCATAAAGAATTGAATGGAAAAGATTACCGTCAATTACAAAGTTTGAAACTGTTAAAAACATTATCGACAGAACACCTGGACCTATGTTGGAATATTAAATTCATCATTCTTTGATACAATCATAAAATGAAACCCTTTTACCTGCAGATCCAAAGGTTGAAGAAAATACACAAGCCAAAACACCAAGATCATGAGCATCACCTAAATACGCTAGTAGATTTCCCTTGTATGAGTCAAATACTGACAAATTCCCATTGCTAGTTCCAACAACTACTTGCAGACCATCTGGCGTGAAAGCACAAGCGTTAGCGCTACTTTCGAGCTTATCCACGCATAACATAAGCTTTCTCGATGTCACTTCCCAAATACATAGTGTTTCATCGGCTGAACCAGAAATCAGAAATTGCGAATTAGGAGAAAAAGAACATGTTCTGACTCCACTTCGGTGGCCATCAAGGACCGCTATACACTCGCCAGTATTTACATCCCATAGCATAACATTACAATCACTCGAAGCTGTTGCAAGTAAGGTTCCAAATGGAGACAAGCAACAAGCATTTATTTGATAGTTGTGGCTTTCCAAAGGTGACTGTGGAAGTTCTTGACCGTTTTCGATGTCCCAAAGACGAGCTGTTTTGTCACCAGAACAAGTTGCGAGGACACGACTATTCGCCGAGAAACAACATCCAGTTACGTCTCTAGAGTGTCTTGATAGAGTGTACACAAGCTCCGCCATTGCACACAATCAAATTTGTGTCGTAAAGCTTTGCTTTATAAAGTGAAACAGTTCATTTGTTGTGAGATAAGTAAATTTGTACTACTGCGAAGTCCTCCATTTTTGAACGCAGCTCGGTTCAAGTCTCTCGGAGTGAAAATGACGTCATTGGACTTTCATTCGCGCATTTCGCTTCAATTTAGCCTGCGTGCACGCAGGCTAAACTTCATTCATTTCTTTTCATCCTTTTAGAAATACTATCTTTGGAGCTTAATTTTAGTGCATTGAATATACCAACCGAAATCTAAAGTAAATTTCAAGTTTTGGCTGTAATTGAGCTTGCGTGAAACAGAGGTTTCATCAATTAGAAGGGGTGGGGAGGGGGGCCCGAGCGATAGATTTGCAGGGTTAATTTTTGCGAATCACGGTGAACTGAAGCATTTTCGGATATTTTCCGCAATAAAATACTTAAAATCGCGCTTTTCGTTGAATTTGCTGTTTCTTATCAGTTTATCAGTCTACTTTTGGACCCAGTCTTCGCAACAAACACTAAACACAGTACGGAAAATTTTATACTGCACTTCGCAGTGGCGGATCCAGGATTTTTCAAAGGGGGACTCCACTTTGTTTTCGCATTTTCCTAAAACGAACTTTTTTACTCTGCCTCTCGAACTGTAGCGTGAATGTATTTAATAAAAATTCATTATACTATCTGTTTTCATTTTTCATTTATCATTTTATTTTTTTATGCTTGAGGGGGGTTCCTAGGAACCCATGAAACCCCCCTGGATCCGCCACTGCTTCGACAAAGGAATGCTTCACGCTTTAAAAAAATATTCACASCTCAAAGTCAAGTCCTTTGCGACCCTCTTTTTGCATCGAGGACTTTATATATAAAGAAACGGTCATGTGACTTGTTCGGGATTCTTCGCACGTTCCAATTTTTTCACGTTTCGGTAACTATCGTGATGTGATGTCATATCGTTACAACGTGAAGAACTGAACGTAACGCTACTGAATCTGATTGGCTATCAGCTGATTTGATTGACATCYTTGTTCGTGACGTCACACAGTATTTGTCCTCGTGATTTTTGGGAAGAATAAATTACGACATCTTTATTTACTATCCGAACGATCCAAGTGATTCCAGTTTAGATTCTATATTGTACTGTACGTTAGAAACATGGGGYTATAGTCTCCCGTTGATTATGTTAGGGGCTTCTTTTGTRATCGAGTTTATAAGAAGAAGCAATAGCACGTCCAAGGACTTTCGCAACGATGAAGATATCAAAGGCTTTACTTCGAGACATCGGTAGTCTCATTCAAAGATACAGTCGCTACCAACAATCAATTTTATCCATCGAACAATACACATCTTTCGGTAAGWAGGAAACTTTTATGACTATATTTGTGGCTTAGAAACTTCTGTGGACACAACATTACATCCTATGTAGTWATAGCATGGCTATATTTGTGGTTTCGTTGGTAAGAAGCGATTTCTTGAATATCTACAAATTTGAGCGCGAAAAATTWCAGTCAAACAATCATTTCAATTATRAACATATCTTAGCGAAACTTTCTTCTTAAAAGTAACATTTTAGGAAGACATAGTTATATTTTCTTGATACGTGATTTTTGTTTTTCAATCGTATCGTATTTCAACTTTGCCTGGCGAGTTTGACCGGAACATCTGATGCAAGCTAGTAGAACACAACGATCGCGTGCCAGTTAGCACAGATGACTCCTTTCTTGGTCTATTTACCATTGTAGTGATCTAAATGAGTTTTATTTGTCTTTAGGAGGTTTGAAGTTGTTTCAGGCAGTGCTTAAAGACTAAAARTTCCCGTATATTTCTTTATTTCTTGTGTTTTCATCAGAAAATCAGTAAAAATGGCGCCGGGTCAAAGTCCATAACTATTGTGACGTATCAACCACCGCCCCCTAGACGCCCACAACAATTAGTGAAAGTTTGTGACGACGGAAAATTACTTTGGAAGCCGTTAATCCTTTTCATAAGATATTCTTTGAATAATGAAAGAATATCTTAACATGATCTATGTTTGACTAGAAAAAGCTACTATAAAAGATGAATTTTGACTATAATTTTATTCTGTATTTTTTGGCCTTGGGCAATATGCRTACATGTACACTCACTAGTGACATACATTCCATATAGAGTGGTTTCCCGTCAACCATGAAAGCACAAAAAGTCCAATAGTTAGTAGTAGTTTGTAATAGACCAATACTAATAGTCTAGGTTGTATCCGATTGATAGGTATCAACATATTCATCACAAAAACAAGTTTTTTTTTATTCTAAATTTTAATGGTCATTTTTGTTATGGTAACTATAATTAAACTAAAGTTTTAATTTATTCAAACTGTTGTTTGTTAGCTATATTGACTAGTCTATTACTCATTGCTACTAACTAGTTAGTTTGTCTATTTCTTTTCCTGGTTGACAGAAAACCACTCTATTCACTCTAGTGACATTCATTCATATATTATATACTTTATTAAACCATCAAGCAAAAGGAATAGTAATTTGCTTGCAGTTACTATAATAATGAGTCCTGTCAACAATATGATAATCCTAATTAATAATTCAGAAGTTTGCATATATAATTTATCTCATTTACAAACAAGTTTAGTCAGTTAAAGCAGAGTTTTGATAAAATAAGAACTTGACTTGAAAAGCATTCCTAGGTGATTCAATCCAATTTAGAGATGTTCAACAAATAATTACTCAGCTAAAATTTCTTTGAGACCAAAATGTGATTTATTTATCCTTCAAAAGTAACTTTATATGGTCAATTCCTATCTTAATAATTTATTTGTGTTTTATTTTAGGTAGAAAAGCCAAACCCCTTGATTCTTACAGGTTCGGCAAGAGTGAATTACCAATACGATTGGCACACATTATCAGGGAAATTGATCTTTTGCCCAAAAATCTGCTTAAAACTCCATCAGTACAGTTAGTAAGAAGCTGGTAAGTATGATGTATTGCTTAGAAATATTGTGATAATAAACAGTATTAAACAATGTTGCCAATGGGTTACTATTTATAGTCAAAAGAATGTAATGACTTATGAATATCAATGATCAAATAAAGTTGTAATTTGTAGACCACTTTCCTAAGTGCCCACCATCTATTTTATACAATTTATAATATTATAGAAACATTCAACACTGTCATATGGAAGAACTATTAGAAATAGGTATTCATGGAAGTTTTAAAGCCATAAACTAAATACCAACAAARTTATGGAGAAATAAAAATACATGGATTTGTATGGAATTCTTTGYTGGTGACTGGCTGTAGCCTTGTTTTGGTGTTTCCATACCTCTTCTAACCCTTATAACTTCAAGAGGATTTAATATTTTTCTGTGAAACTTTCAGAGTTTATCTTTGGCTTTGATATCTACCATTTSAGTGTTTTCTTTTGWCAACATTATAAATTGAGAGATCAGATCACAAATTGGGTGTATTACTGATAGTACTAGCCTCCTTAAGGACCATGGAGTGTGCTACAGGGTTTACAGGATTTTATCAGCTCTCCATAACTGTAGCAGTTCCATGTCAATTAGCAATATAGAAAAGTATGATTATTATAATGTAATTTGAAAATTTGTCATTTTAAGGTATGTTCAAAGTTTTTCTGAACTTGTTGAATTTGAAGATGAACACGATGATGATGAAACAGCTAACAGGTTTGTTAAAAATATGATCATTTATTATAAAAAAAATTATTGTATAATTTAGTATGAGCAAAATTTTGTCATTTTTACTTCAAAAAGGCATTGAAAACAAATCTTTGTTTTCTTTGAATTTCAAGGTTTACAGATATGTTGGCCTCTATCAAGCAAAGACACAATAATGTAGTTGAAACTATGGCACAGGTAGGGTTGAATACACTTAATGTTTATATGCAATGTTTGAATGCAATATGCATGCATGACTTAGTTAACTATTCCATCAACAATTGAAATTACATAACTGCAATACTGTAAAGTAGCCTGGGTACAGCAAAAATACAGCCTGTAACACAGTGTACCATAGCCTAAAGCGAAGTCGCCTTAACTGTTTTTACAAGAAGAAAATACTTATATAAATCTTTTAAATATTAGGGTATTGTTGAGCTAAGAAATAAAGGTGGCAAAGATGCTCTTCATCCTTCAATACAATATTTCCTTGGTGAGTTTTTACATTGTATAATTTCTACACACTGAATTCATCACTGGATAAAACTTCGCTGCACTGCTCAATGGTCATTRTAAACTGTAAAAGTTTAATTCAATCTAATTGTATAACTTCTCAAGAGCAACAAGTGAAGGAATGCCATATACCATAATCATGCAACTTCTCTCACTTTTGAATGTCATCTAAGATGTGAAACTGAATAGTGTATTCAAGTGTGATCTCCCTTTGACTAATAATAGTGGTCTCAATTTTGTAACCAGATCGCTTTTACATGAACAGAATTGGAATTCGAATACTTATCACTCAACACTGTAAGTATTTTCTTGTTTGTTTTACCTTTTGATAATATTTATTGATTACCGTATATAATACTKTATGTTTGTATGCTTATGGAGATTRTCTTAGTTCCTATTTTTGTAGTTTTTGGTCTTYAAATTTCATTAAAGTTATTCTGCAAATTATTGTTGTAACGTTTTTTCTGACAGTGATGTTGTTTGGTCATGAAGGAGCAGTGAGTTCTAAAAGTAATTTTATTGGAGCATTTCAGAATGACTGCAATGTTGCTTCTATTGTTGAAGGTATAAGACATTACATATTAATAAGGGACAGTCTATTTGAATTTTAATGAGAGGGGGGYTGGTAAGGAGAACCCAAACATTGCRACATGAAAAAAATWTGTTGAAAAAAGATTTTTTTTGTGCATTAAGTTTGGCACGACCATAGCTTGGCATTTGAACCAGAGTTGAGCTTTTGCCTTGCAGCACGACTGATGCTGGAGTGCTACAGTTGTGACGAACTCAATTGATTCRTATGTCAAGCTATTCATGTGCTAAATTCAAATAATTTTGTTCAGCGTGATGCTGATCCGACATTTGAACCAGGCCTAAGATAGAACATTGGACAGCAGTTTAAAGGAGAAACAAAATATTGGGTATGAAAAAACATCTCCTCTGCCACATTAAAAAATCAAATGGTCCATCCCTAAGACCAATGTTCTCAATACCAGAGAATTATATTTGAACTGCTTCCAGAATCATAACACAAGACTCTTCTCTTGATTCAGTAAGGATTGAGGAGCCCCTGTTCAAGCCCATATGTCACGTCTGCATGTGTATTTTTTATTATAATTGAACATGTACATGCAGTGGTATTACTCAAGTTAGAAAAATACTGAATAAAATCATTTTGTATTTTTAGATGCTGGAGAAAATGCAAGTTACTTGTGTGATCAATATTACTGTGCCTCACCTGAAATAGAAATAAAACAGTACAATGGTAAGTGTATTCTTGCTTTCCTCTTCCATTTGTAGGGAAATTGGCATTCCTGACAAGCTTTTGTTTATGCTTAAAAAAGACGTCAAAAAGTTTTGCTTATTATTACTTTATGCTCTATGGATGGGGATTGATGGATGGAAATGCATTATAAATTGTGGAGATTTGAAGTCACCTTATTTCTTGCACAAACAATCTAAAGCATGTCATGTCATAAATTTTTATATCTATCATCTTTGAGATGGCTGATCTCATTATTTCAAARAATTTAATGATATGCATGTTAGCATAAATGTATTATTAGTTGAATGAGAACAGAGGGATGCTTGTTAGCAATGTTTGCACACATTGTTCAAACAGCTTGACCTGCCATTGACATTAGAACAATTGATTTTGATATTTCTGTCTGTCTTTCAGCACTTGACCCAAAAGCCACAGTTACATTTCCTTATTTACCAGCACATCTCTACCACATGTTATTTGAACTTTTAAAGGTAATTAATTGAGCATTTGTCTTGCCTTTCCTTGAGTCAGAGACCATCTTGGTTTTTTGCTCATTTCTGTCTTCAATATTTCTTTTTTTCTGCTCTTTTTTGTGAACTCTTCTTTTCCATGTTTCTTTCACTGATTTGCCGTACTTGCACYTTAGCTACAAGTAAGACATCTTCTTGTGGCATACGTTTTTGTTCTAACTCAGCACGTTTTGATCTTTTTCTCTTAGAGAAAGCTCACTCTACTGAAAAATAACAACAATAACATAAGTTTATTGTTCCATTTTCTGCATGTGAGTACATGTATTTCTTGTAATGATCATTTTTGTTGGGTTTAGAATGCAATGAGAGCTGTCACAGAAAACTTCCCAACCAGTGTTGAAATGCCACCAATACAAGTGATGATCACAAAAGGAAAAGAAGATATGACCATCAAGGTAAGTGTTGTTGTGGATTTTACAGCTTAGCTTACCATTGCCTGATTTCAAACCATGTGAGACTGGTTCAAGTCTCTTAATTGGCATGATGGATTGATATAACCCGTATAGAAGGAAGGAATGTATTGAGAAATACTAACTGTCTGCATTTGGTGTTGATCAGGTAAATATTAAAAGATTTACAGCCTTTCAAAAAATCTAGAATTTTTGAAGACGTGTATAAAATGCCAGACGTTGCGTCTGGATTTTCTAAATTCCCATACATTCCTTTGTAAAATCTAGAATTTTTGAAAAGCTGCCAACCGTTTATATTTAATCCGATTAGCACCAAACGTTTTGAGTTTCTTATTTATAGTTTGATCTTTCGTCCTATGTAAGTCTTATCTCACCATCGTGCAAATTAAGTATCTCATGGTATGAAATCGGGCAATGACTGAATTGTTCAAAGCTTGATTAATTTGACACTTATGTGCATTCTTGTCCCAGCTTCAAATGCCAATGCATAAGCTATCATAAGAATTATTTGATATTATTGTCTGTAGATATCTGACCGTGGTGGTGGCATTGCTAAAAATAAAATAGATGAAGTATTTGAGTACCACTACTCCACCGCTCCAGAACCCACAACATCAGGGCATGTGGCCCCCCTGGTTAGTACAATAAAATAACAAAAACATGAAAAAGAATTAATGAGAGAGGTTTTATGGCTACATTGTACAATATTTTGCATAGAGAGTCATGTTCATGACCGTGCAACGAAAATGACTATTAGTTAGTAAATTGTACATTGTACAATATTTTGCATAGAGAGTCATGTTCATAACCGTGCAACGAAAATGACTATTAGTTAGTAAATTGTACATTGTACAATATTTTGCATAGAGAGTCATGTTCATAACCGTGCAACGAAAATGACTATTCAGTTAGTAATTTGTTAGTAAAAACAAAAGGAAACAATAGATTCAAATCTTTCACGGCCAAAGATTTGATTATAGTTCTGTTTGTAGGCTGGATATGGTTATGGTCTTCCTCTATCAAGACTTTATGCTAAATACTTTGATGGTGACTTGCAACTGTACTCCATGGAAGGCTATGGAACTGATGCTATCATTTGGCTAAAGGTATATAAGTCTGCGTTATGGCAGTTTTTATTGCTGTTTCTTCGGGGTTTTTTTTCTTTTGAATTGTTCTGGTTTTTCTCTTTTTGTTCTCTTTGTTTTGTATAACACCCTCATGCGTTGTTTTCAATTGTCTGGCATTCCTGTTTTTGTTGTTGTTGATGATAAAGAAGGTGCAAATACTGTTGAATGTGTTTTTCGTTGTTTTGTTACTTTTGTTGTTGTACGATGTTGAACCAAATCCTCTTTTTTAACACTGAAGGCTTTCTCACGAGACGCAAGTGAAGTGTTACCAATCTACAACACTCGCACTCCTAAGAACTACGAAGAAGTGAGAGCCTCTTACAATTACGCACGTGACTGGAGCTCATCGAAGTTCTACGGCGGTGTGGGAACTCATAGATTCCTTTCAACRTTTAACACCAGACGRTCTATYGGGAATAGACGGAAATGATAGTTCTAGCGCCGTTTTTATTGTATTACTTTTTGTACATATATTATAATTATTATCTAAAACGTTGTCGTTACAACACAAAATTCCATTTTTTAAAAAACGATCTGTAAAAACTACTGTTTTTCGTGCTGTTATTAAGTTTATTGTTTACGATGGACTWAGTTGACAACACGAAAATCTTAGAACTAAAATTAAAGATGCTCGAAACTCAAGAAACCCATGGTAACGAAAACACGAGTAATTTTTTTTAGCAAACATTTTACAAGTGTATTTTTTTATAGAGCGAAGTCCTTAGACCCGTGAAACAAAGTCTGACCATTAAGGTGTGAGAGTCGTTGATTAGTKTAATATCTGTTTCACGGGTTTTGTGACTTCGCTCTATTCTCTAGKGAGGAGTTGCTACTCTTAAATTAAAAAATATAATATATTTAATTGGTCAACGGAAAAAGGGCATGGAAGCATTTTATCATTTAAATGATTTTTAATCGTTGCGGTTTACATGTAACATTTGAAACCCTAAACCCCACTTTCTAAGTCGTTAGATAAATCTATAAACAGATTTCCGTGAAATACTGGTGGTTTTCATTAACCCGTGAAACATRGTGCAATACGTAGCCCAAGTGTAGTATAGTGTAATACGAAGAAAGATGTGCATACATTCAGAGTGAACTAAATCATACTAATCTATCAAACTTTTATAGTCAATTTTGTTTCACGGGTTGTCGACTATATTTCATGTGTTAATGAAAACTACTCTARATATAAGTTAACATGTAATGCTCCAATTGATCCAAAGAAAATAAGTCAGAAATAAAGTCTGAAAACACAAAAAGCGTGAAACAGCATTAACCATATAGTGCTAAATGGTGTTGATTATTCAGCGTCACTTATATATTTGACATGGACGATAAATATCATGTTTTATTGTATTTTTACAAGAGTGAAGTAAGAAAAACCGCGAAGTACACTAATATACCTWAGTACGCCCTAATTGCATTGTTTTCTTTTGTGTCCATTTGACTTTCATGCTTTAATAGTCACGGGTCTAATGACCTCGCTCTACCCKTTTATTGGTATCCACATTCTGATTGGATACTGAACAAGAGTCTATTCATGATATACCATGGTAGCATATATWGCTATTTCAAAAAAGATTGTCGGATAAAATGGCGAATGTTTTAAAATTGTCTAACGGCGATTGYACGACCGAAAGTATAGTCATGGGTTTTGATYGGTGAAATGAAATAAAAACTGATTTGTACTGTAAGATGGTCTGTGGCCGTAAACATTGGATCCATTTAGTCYCCATTTCTATGTAACGTGAATCCAATAAGTGAAATTCTGTTTATCAAAACAGTGYAACCRTAGTCCCTTTCGGTCGTRCAATYTCCCTTYGACAATCCCCGGTCKCCGTTCTCCCCGACAACGTTTTTKGAAATAGCTGTATATCGAATGAWRCGGAAATGGTAGAAATTTAAAGTCCCTTCTATTTAGATTGTACAAMGAGATTGAGTATACTTACGAGTTTTCCAAATGGCTTTTATAGTGTTGCTGATACTGTATCAAGACAATCTTTTTCGTGTTTTTCATTTATTTGATTGTTYAATCTATTTACAGGAGTGCAATTCACGAGCAATATCACGCGCAAGGCAAATGGCCTTAAGACTTGTACTCGATCATGGACRCGTTRAAGTATCCCAGTTTGAATTTACCGACAAAGCAAAGTAATTAAGCATAATCACTTATGGGCACYGACGCCATTGYCTAATGCAACATATATGATGCTGCAATATACAGTCATGTTATACAGTCAGAACCGGCCATGAAGGCGTCAATTGAAGCCATGTAAATGCAACAGGAGCATTGAAGCTTTCCCCTGAAACTCCCTCARCCAACTTTCAGTCATAAATGAGTGCACTGCGTGGTCAAAACCTTTAGCCTGGGGGACAGCGTACTTACACGAACAACTGGTTTCCAAGGACACAAGAGTTTTTTACGCCAATACGTCAGTGTAATTAAGTGAATTATGCTACCATAAATGAAGGAGTTCCATAGAGGAAAAACCTGATCCCTCGTTTGAATATTCTGTGACACTTGCACGCGGTGCCTTGATTTCAGAATTTAGGCGGAGTCGTCCAGAGTTTTCTGCACGAGTAGCAATTTTCTATATCGTAGTGCTATTTGCGTTCAAAARCGATTCTCTTTGTCTACACATATTACCAAGGCAACCTTTTTGCCAAGCCGCAGCATCCTTACTCTCGATATTGGCTCTAGGTATTATGCAATCAGCAGCAGAGGATGCACCCTACCCTACACTGAGTTGCTGCTCCTGGTGTGCTGTATGGAGGCTGGACGGGATTTGAAAAGGAGAGGGAAGTTTCATGCGTTTTTTATCTTTAGAGTTTCCAAAGAAGAAAGACGTTCATTACATGTGCAGCTGCGTAAACGGCGAGTACTGACGGAGACGTGCATTGACACGAATTACAACCAGTAGAGATCAAATTCAAAGTTGAATTTTCAAAGTTGTTATWTTCTTATGGCGATGTCCACGGCGGTCAAAGCCTATGGTCTGTTATCAAGGGTGGGTTGTGCGAAGGCTTCGGATATTTTCCCAACGCTTTTAGGAATAACAACCAAATATAAATTATACATTATCTTTTAATAGCTCTTCTTCCTATAATGACAACAGAATTTGTACAGCTTGCATTTCATGTAGATTGGAACAGCAAATAAATTTGCGAAAAATAGGATTGTGATCAACTAAGCCTTATTGAAATTCTGATTCGGCATAATATGAGTAAACAAATCAAAATGATTCAATTTAAAACGGGAAAATAAACTTTTGCCTGTCCTTGAGCTATACTTCTGCACAATAAACTGGACTTGGTTGAGCCTCATTAATACGTAAACCCCTGCTAATACGGCCAGTGACCGGTCCGATCAAATCCACCGAAATTATCCTGAAACTTCCTCTTTTAGTATTTTTTTCCTTCTGATAGTCAAAGTGTGGTGCAGTTACAATACCTCAACTTGCGTTTTTAGGTGTTGTAAGCTAAATCTAAAATTGTAGCTTCGCTTTGAACAGTATTCYATTTATGTAAATTTTTTCTTGTTTGGCGTTTATCCTTGAAGTGCGTGAATGACAATTGATGATCTTTCATTGTGCAGATGCTAAATTAATACGAATATGATATCGTAAGGTACCCATTGAYGCCAGACATACTAGTCAGGCTTATTTAAAAAAATATCCGAGGATATTTCTTTCATTATTGTAGCCATTTTTTGTAAAATGAGCCAACAAAAACATTTTGACTTCATTAAATAAACTTACTTTATGCTAATTAAGGTAGTGTTTGATTATTGCTTGAGCGCGGACCCGCATTAAGGAAATTGTTGTAAAAAATGAACCGTATTACATGCAGTAATACTGTAAAGGTCCCCCTAGATTATTAATAAGTTCTTTAACAAGTTTTCAAAACGTGTAATGGCAAATGACTCTAGTACATAATATGCAAATTAGCGTAGTCAGACGATGTGAAAGAGTTCCCAGGTAAATTAGCGCGTTAACAGCGGCCGAAGTCGAAGTGAAATGACGCGGGTGGACCGCACGTCAAAGGGGGATTCCTTGGTGWCGTTTTTGATTGGCTCACAAATTCGCTGAATTTTCTCACTTAGTGTCTATCATGTGATTTGAAAAAGAGCATAGAATTATCAACCATGATGTGGCTTAAAATCATGTTTACCCAAGCGAACCGCTTCGACATTTCTACTATAAAGTTAGAAGTTTGCTTACAAGAAACCGAAACCTTTACATTCATATTGATTTTGTCTTGGGAGAGATCTTTTAAAACGAGCCTTCCTGATCCTYYATGCAGTGCGTCAAGCATGTCAAATGCTGATGGTGCCRAGATGGAGCCCTGCCGAAGATGATCATAAGTAAGTGCTTTCAAAAGTATTTACTAGATTTTTGTGAGGGATGCATTGCAGTTGATAACATCAAYTATTCTCAAAATGAAATTGAAATATTGTACAAACTCAGTCATGTAGTGAACCATTTATTGCATATCTTGATTGAACTAAAAMTTGTCTTTAAAAGTGTTCCCGTTAAAYGTATTCATCTTGCGCTCCTCACTTTTAGTGTCAGTCAAATAATGAATTATGAAGATCCATGGATTTGCGACGCTTAAATTTATCATCTTACATRGCAATCCATAACGTCTTAAATAGACATCGAGACTTCATTGAACCTTTGTGACTTTAGTCCTCTTGGCGAAGACCCGGCCTTACTGACACTKATAACCGGCTATTTGTTTTACTGCGCATTCCAAGAGCATATCCGTACTTGCATTACAATAGGAAACAATGATACATGCTTGTATTTTTCCTCGCCAATATGAACTGGAGTATAAGCGTTTTCGTAAGCTATCTTTTACATATATACGATCCTCCGAWTCTCTTTTATAGTAGTCGCCATTTCTAAAAACACTTGCCCTCTTGACTGTCTCCTTCGGCATGTCATTCTTYCGTGTATTTATGAAATCTTCTCCTTGAATGTCTGCTAGCTTTCGTTTCATTCCTGATAACATCCGGTGAAATCGTCCGAAAGACAAAAACATTGAAAATGATCACTGTCGATGCAATAACCCGTGAAATAATAGTGTTTCACGGGTTAGTGTTGAAACAAAGAAAATAATAATAATGAATATTGCTACAGTCTACTTACCATTTCAYCAGCAGTCGCGAGTACTCTGGCAATATTTGCGGCTTACGATGATTATAAAATAATTGTAGTAATTAATCAGTAAACAATGGAAATCTAGATTCGATTCTAGAATAGGAACTTCAATTTTACAAGTGTCATCTAAGATCTTTCTCTTCAGATTGTCTCAAATAGTCTTTTAAAGTATTTATTGTTTTTGTTTGTTTGTTTGCTTTGTTTTGTTTTGTACGTACTTTTGTCGTTGGTCTTGGTATTTGATTTTACCATGTAAGACCATGTAACATATATTTTTAGCTCACACGATCAACATCGGGATTCCCCTTGTATTCCCACTACTCAGATCAGTCAATCAAATAAATTAAAATTAATTATATATCGAAAATGAGTTAAATATTCGTTAATGGAAATATGTTTTGACTTAAACAAAACTGCTTTCAATATTTTAAGCAAAAAAAAACAAAAAACCCACAACTTTGTTCAGATGCGGCAGACGCTTTTAATTTGATCGGATTTTTTTTTGGAGTTTTCCCAAACCGTGATAAAAACAGTCGAATTCAACGTTTTCAAAAAGCACGAGAAACATAGAGAAGAAAAAAAAACACACACACAAACAAAGCAAAACGAAAAAAAAATCTTTATAAAGCAATTGAAAAGTCGATATGGATTACAAAATGGCTTATTCATATACATAGAAAAACGTCCATCTAGTAATGCGCGCGCGCGTTTTAGCAGCTAAATCAGGCCGTAGTCACTCCAGATGGCACAGTTTCAATAATAGTTTAGATGTCATTTATTGTCACTTAAGTCTCACAAAAATACTGGAAAGCCCTGATAGAATAAAACATTCAAAATTGGCTTCAAAAACATGGATATTTCATGACGATCTTCGATATTTTCACGAAAAACAAGTTTCATTCAACTAATTAGTGAAAACCGTTTTTTTTTTTCGCATCGCAAAGTATTTTTTCCGAGGAAAAAGTTTGATAAGATTCATGTCAAAAAAGAGCCACTTCCAATTCTTGTAAAACAAMAATTTGTATATATTTCGAAGCAAACGACGTAGAATAATTAATTCCTTGTTAAAATACTAATTGTTGCGGTGAAATTATCTGAAAAGATTGGATAAAAACTATCAACAACTACTGTTGTTAGCTCGMCATCGGAAAACTAAACTTAAATYCCCCCATTGTTACTTGAAATCGATACTAGCAAATAATTTTGGGGAGGGTACCYACTTGATTTCTAGTTCKAGTATTCTGTGGCGAATCTGTMAAAAAGAAGAAATCTCTTTTGCATCGCTTCGCTTTTTATTATTTCGTGATGTCATGGTGTTGTTTAAAATACGCTGGGAACCCCAAAACAATCAGCTGACAAGAAAGAGCCATTTTAAGTGCCGCGTCACAGAAATTTTAAGCCAATCGGTTTTAAAATAACCCTGTGAAGCGCGAGCATTTGATTGGCGTAGATCGTGGAAGGAGCTCGATCGTGGGGGGTCATGTTGTTTCGCGCAAGTCCGATAGCTAGTCGAAGCAGGGTCAAAGCATGCATGGCGGCACGCGATTTGGCCCAAAGGCCCAAAAATTCCCCTTCAAATTGAACTTTATAGGACTTACAGTACAATAATTTGCTTCTTCAATTGAAGATTAATATATCCTCCTTCGAGGAAAAACATTTTTAGACTAGAATTTGTGAATTAACGTGGTCAAGTTACGAAAAGTCGGGAGTATGTTGAAAATTGTACGCCAGTGTCTTCGACTTCAGTAGCAGTTGTAAGAGGATTCGAATTTGACGCGAAAGACGCGACAGTGGTAGCGAGGGCATCCAGTTTATTGATTTGGATAGTCGTAGCAAGAGTTTTGCTTGGAGCTAACAGCTCGAAGAAGAATTCTATTGCTGCTTGGATCTTTTTGGATACAAAATGTCGGGTAAGTTGGAGTTGAAAGTCGATCGGATCTGCATACACTTTGCTTAGCTGACAAGACTGACTTGGCCTTGCATTAGTTCAAAATCGAGTTCGGATTTCTTGCTAAAGATGAGCCTTAGCMGTGCAAAACTAACAATTTGGATTCTACAAATATTCAGCTATAACATCTTGGACATTTGACTTTCCAGGATAATTTTTAGAAGTGAAAATATGCATTTTGTTTAGCTCTGATGGAAAGGACGCCATTTTGCTATACGTCCCAAACCATGGCGCGAAGTTATTCACATCCAACAATAGATCCATCGAATTTTGTGCGTTTTTAATTTGAACACTAAGTATTTATTTCGAAAAATACTTAGAAATTCTATTTTATTTATTGGTCTTTGYCCATATGTACTCCAGTTTTGCGTAGATCGAGTGGGAGCGATGGTTTTTGGCCTTTATTTTCTAGTTTCGGCATTTGTAAATACGAAGGTTGGTCGACGGCTACGATTCAACTAAGAAAGTTCCTATCGCTTGGTCAAGCTGAACTCTATGGGCGGTGGGCAAAGCAAGATCTTAGCGTACTCTCTTTTAATCTCTGTGCTAGTCTATTTATTTTTGAAGAAATCCTGAGAACGTAAAGTTATATTTTTTCTTCAAAACGAAACAAAGAACTGCTATAATATAGTATGAATAATTACTGGACCAAGGTGTAAAGATGGCCGACGGACAAGAAAAACGAAATGTTGCCGTTCTGTAACGATCATTATACTGTGTAATGGCTTCCAGTTGCTGGAGCTGTTTTGCTATCCCTTCACCGTCATCAAGGCTTCTGGAAATCTTCCTTCTTACAGAATTCTTCACCTGTAGCTTTTTGAAACATCTGCGTTTTCCTCGATTTTCCATTATTAATGAATGTTCATTTGTTGTCCAAAAGAGATCTTGCGCCAACACTGTCGTGAAAAAAGATGGAAAAATCAGTAGAATCTAATGTGTTTTTGCTCCAATGGAAATAACACTAGTAAGCTTTGAAATACTCGAGAGTACTGCGAGTCGAACGCCCATATCCGAATGACTACTAGTCGATTGAAGATCTCTATGGCTTTGTAGAGTTTTTCTGACTTGGATACGGTCACAACTAACATCTTCAGCAAAAATACACATCGAGTTACACGTTGTGGCTTTACGAATAATGTTTTTGTTCAATACGGAAGAAATGTTATTGTTAGAACGGCGTTCGATCGAATTTTAAGCTCGGAAAACTTATCACGTTATAAATGTGTGTCGTTGAATGTGTTATCTCCTCTGATCAGCTACTGTACATAACATTTCTTATTTTTTTTTTATCGTAGGACGACCTAAACGTGGGCCTGGTAGACCAAGGACTGTTGATTCAGGGGTAAGACTTTCTGCTTCTTTTATCAATGAAATGAATGACAAATTTAAACGCTTCCCTGAAGGAAGGAAATATAAATTGTTGTCATTATCAAGGTTATTTTAACATGTAGTAGGTCCACTAGTTGCAGTCTTTATTCAAATCCAAATACTCCTTTTCCTTTTTACTATTTGATATTAAATCCTAAAATATATGTGAAATGTTTTAAAGTAAAACTAGCCACTCTAGACTACAACGTAGTTTGGGCCTTAGAGCTAAGTTGAATTCAAAACAGATTCGTGTTGAGCTCTCCTTTGGCTGTGTGTAAGGCACTCATTGATGGAAATTCAGTTAAGTTTCTCAAAGCCTTGCAGATTTTTATCTACTATACGTTGATTACGAGGTTTTTGTGTTGTTCTCGTTGTAAATATTCAGATTTTTTATCTTCCATTTTGGTTTTAATGATAAATGCAAAGATACTATGAAACACTTTACTTTTTAAAGAAGAGACTAAAACTGCTTGTGCAATAAGATGTTTTAGCATAAAATTCACTTAATGTGTAAGCCAAGTCAGTCATTTAAATGTTACAGTAGTTTGATGCTAAATAGACATGGATGAAGGGTTAGCTTTTTGGCAAGATTGGATACAAAATAATTTTTGAAATAATTGTTTTTTACAAAATAATATTTCATTTATATCAGAAACTTGCACTTTTTACAACTGAAGAAGACAATCCATTTCAATGTTTGTTATGCAATATGTTTGTACTACATACTTTATGAACACAAATCCTTAATGGTGCCATGAATAGGTATATGTGTGTCTAACTTGTGTTGAATTATGTGCAAAAAGACTTACAATATATGAAAAAAAATTGCAAATTGTTGCCATTGTGGCAAAATAGTAAAATGACATGAACAATAGTATTACCATGAGATGTTCTCATGCTGTATTTTTACTTGAAGAAACATACTACTGTCGTTAATGAATGTTACTGTAGACATTTTCCATTGCTATAATAGTATTACTAGGTAACTTTAATTTAGGTGCTTGAATTTAATGCACCAAGTTTTCTTCTGACTGCCCATCCATCCTCTGAGAAAATATTACTAAGAGTAGTCTGATTAGCCTAGCTCAAGTAGATAGGGAGGTTTTGCTTTGATAGAGCTGCAACTTCACTAAGTCAACCTCAAATGAAAACTGCTGATTCAGTGAAGAGTTAAGACAGTCATACAGCTATGAAAACATGGAAGATCAAAAATTGAGTGACTAATTCCTGAGCTTGAAAAAGTAGTTTTGAAAACTAGAAGTTACCACAAGAATAAAATGTATTTTACGTGAACTTGGTTCAGCATGACTTGTGCCTGCATTTTCTGTGTACATAAAACTTTGTTTCCAATATTTAAGGAAATAATTACACTTCCTAAAACATGACAGCTAGCAGGAATTTTAAATTATTACTATGTAAGAAATGTATCAAATGTCCATATCAAAATATACACATTAGTATTATGATACTCTCAAAGTGATTATTTAAATTATTAAAACAATAAGATCATATTGTGGTCAATCATATAGATGATTTACTAAACCTTGTTATTAATTATGCTGTAATATTTCAATTTAGTTACATCTGATCCAGGTGAACTTTGTTTTTAATTTCGACACTTTTTATTGCATTTCCTCATTAGATACGCATTGTAAAGTTTAGCTGGGGGAATTTCTAGGTCTCTTATTGTGTGCTTCAAATAGAACCAAAACCCTGAAGTCTGACAATTTGTGATGTTTTTTCAATTTAATTGTACTTGAGGCGCTTTGGATGTTGTTTATTTCCTTGGGACTTGCACCATGTATCCTGACTCAGGAAGTCAATAGATATGTTTTATCATATAAACTATTGATTATCATGAATCATGAACAACCTACTGATCTTTTAATATTTTTGTTTTCTGCTAAAAGCAGCTTTTGTTTGTTGATGTATTCTGCATATTTTTGTGGGGTGTTATGTCTAGGTAAATGTTATAGCCAAGGATTAGTGTTATTTCGATTTCTTTTGGACAGGGATAAAAGCTCATAAGGTAGAATGTTAATAGCTGAGTTGTCTTGTATTCAAGTAAAGTGTTTTCATTGGCTGAAGCTAAGTCAAAGTCAATGTTAATACTTTTAGCTGCTCTTCAGTTTGGTCTAAAGTTGACCACTGCAGGGTTTCAATATAATCCGAAGCTATATATATATTTATTAGTTTAACTTGATTACTATTTCTACATTAAAGTTAACCATTAATTGGGAAGGATAATTAATTTGCATCATTTTGATAACATAGATGAGTTTTATGTTAAGATGTAATACAATGTTGAAATTTAAAATATCATGTCCATATGAATTAGATTCTCCAAAATGATGAAACCCCTTTAGTCGTTACTAACTGGAAGACTTAGGTTTGATTTTAATAAACTCTTCTTCACATTATAGGGTTTTTGTTTATTTATATTAATACAAGCAAATATTCCAGTGGTTTCAACAGTTGAAACACTATAATGTATGTTAAAAATTAGATTAGAAAGAGAGCTGAAATGTGATAAATCTATAAAATTCATATAATGTAAAACATACTGTGAAAGGTTAACTAGTCTTTCAACTGTTTTGCACTTTGATCACAACAATGAAGGTGTTTTTTTTCTTTTGTAACAAACTTGATTTGTTCTCACTCAACAGCTGTTTATAGCTGCTGGTAGCACAATCTTGTAATTGCTTGTTTGTATCAGCTATATTGAATATTTACTGGTTAATTTGATAGATGTCAGATTTTTGTATGCATGGTACAGGGGATTAGGGAAAACCCCTTGCATCTTTTTGTATTTTTGTCATGTCTCAATACATAACAAACTGTAACGAAACTTGCAATTTGTTTCAAATTTATATGTTGAGTAATCAGTTTGAATGTAATTCTGAGAGCATTTAAATGACTTAAAACTTATACGGCATTTGCATTTAAAGCCTTGTTAAGCTTTACCTTTTGGCATTCAGTAACACAAAGAAATATTCATTCAAGCTAAAAAAGGCATTGTCATTAATGCAAGCACACATAAGATAATGCAAACAGAGTTTCAAGAGAGCGCGAGAACATTCATTAGAGGTTTTTTTTCAAACATCAAACAAAAACATGTACAGTATTTAATACAGAGTTGTGGACATTCATTTATACAATGCAAGCACACTAAACATTGTATGTTATTGCACAAATATATCTCCAAAACACGGAAATGAATGAGTGCTTTTGTTTGAACTCAGTTCATGTTATTGTAAGTCTGTCTGCTATAATGACAATGCGTCTTCGCTTGAATGCTAATTTCTTTGCTGTTAATAAAACAACAAAAGGTTTTCAACTGCCAGAATACAGAGAAAGTTTTCTTATCATTCAGATTTATATTTCCTTTTGGAGATTATTATGGAACAATTTGGCCAATAACTTCACAAAAGAATGTCTAAAAAGCATCCTGGTAGTTGTAGTACCATTGTACAACCTTCCTGTGACTATTTTGATGCTTAAATAAGATGTTTTTGTTTATCTAGATGTCACCAACTCGCTGTCTTCCTCCTGCTTCACCTTTGACTCCAGATTCAGAGGAGGGATTTGTCATCAATGAATCGAAGTCTAGAACAAGAGGAAGACCAAAGGGGCCCATCAAAAAGACAAGAGTTAATGCCCAAAGGTTGGCTATAATCTATTTTATGTTCCTAGAATATAACCAAACATTGTTTGCCCCAGTGTATGAGGCTGGAGTTGAATGCTGTGTGTTTGAGTAGTGACCATGAATGAAAATGTTACTTTCCTTCAACCCATCAGGGCCTATAAAAGTGTAAAGTGAGAAATATTCAAAAATGTGACAATTCTTTACCAAAAATAACTTTTTCATTGTCTGAACACTAGCCTTAACTATACATTTCATGTACTTAACAGGGCATTGCATCCTCAAACTTTGAGAGGCACTAAATTATTTAAAGTGTCAGGAAAACAATTGAACATTGTCAATCCTAAACGTTATTGCACTGTATTTAAATCTTACTTATAAAACTCATCAAAAATAATAATGTATTTTTATTGAATTGCAGTAAACTGAAGTCTCCAATCCGTGCTTCACACAGTTCATCAAGTATAGAAAGCTCCAAGCTTGATTATGGTTATGATTTTAAGGTTTGTTATCATTGTAGATTTGTTTAAATTTACCTACTGTAAGCATGGTTCACACAAGCGTAAACACAACATAGACATAAGCATAGACATAAGCATAGACATAAGTATAGACATAAGTATAGACATAAGCATAGACATAAGCATAGACATAAGCATAGACACAAGGAAATAAAAACTTGTTCTTTATGTCTTGTATGTTTATCCTTTTGTCATAGCATGATGGTATTAGGCATAAAAAGTATGGCATTGTGTTAATGTTGCTGTATGAACCAGGCTCACTGGGATGTAGTATGTATGTTAAGTAAATTGATTATTGTTTCAGAAGGAAGCTGCCTATGCTAATGCTGTTGATGCCATGGGACTACCATTAGCTCCTGAAAATATACCACGTGATGACTTGTAAGTATYAAAAGTCACTGCAAAAACATCATTATGTATGTTATTTACCGGCTGGGAGGTCCGAATAGGAAAACACTGCCCAAGGTCTTGGCAGTACGGAACTAACGCAGCAAGGTCCGTACATAAAAGGCAGAGGGCAGTGTTTTCCTATGCGGACTGACTTATAGCATGTAAATAACATTTTTCTTTTTTTATTTGTATTTTATACAACTTGGCTCACAGCCTAGCTGCAGGATACTGTGGGTCGGGCAGATTGTGAAAAACTGGACCGCATGCTAGCCAATCTCAGCGCACAAATGACTAGGATACCAGACCAAAAAAAAATAATGTAGCATCTTGTATACACTCATATCCGAACTCTTTGTAAACCCAATATTTATTAGCTATGTCATGGAGATGTTTCATTGATCCTTTGATTCTAGTATACCTGAGGACAAGCTGTGTGCATTTTGCTCTTGTGGTCCAGAAAGAAGGATGTATCAGGGAAAACTGCAACTGTGTGCACCAACTCCAGGTTTCAATCCATTCAAGAAAGCCGCCGCAAACCGTCAAAAACAAAATTCGACTCCAGAGCCTTACTGTTCTGAGCCTGCAGACACAGGGAAGGAAGCCATTGACGATGTACCACAACCTCCACCAATGGTACATCGTCGAGGACCAGGAAGACCACCTGGTAGAGGTAGAAAGAAAGGTTCGGTGGTAATAGGCTTACCTTTTCGGAATAATGGACAGGCATTGACTGCTGATAAGTTCATGTTTGGGTCAACACGAGAGAGAGATGTGACCGAGGTATTTGAAAGCGATGGCTCTGTGTGGGCTCACCACTGTTGTGCTTCGTGGAGTGTTGATGTCTGCCAGCTTGACTCGTACGACTTTGTCAACGTTGATAAGGCTGTCCTTGCTTCGTTAACAGAGGTAAAACATACTCATTAACGTCATTGTGTGAAAATGATTTTGAGTATAATTAATTATAGGGAAAATTGAAGACTTAATGTAGTATTTATGGTGTTCTTTTGCAAAATATGTTCACTATGTAATGTTACGTTGAATCTAAATAAATATGAAGATATGCAGAGCAGGAATAAAGTTTGCATAAAATAATAAAATGTGACAATTTACAAGAAGGTTTTTGATTTACTGTATGAACTGTCGTGTTTCAGCGATGTGCACATTGCAATCGTTATGGTGCTAGTGTTGTCTGTCAAGTGCCAAAATGTGGGAAGACCTATCACTATCCATGTGCAGCAAGTGCGGGAGCATTCCAGGTAAATACCTCATTACTCATGTACTTTAGGTATCCACATGGATTAAATCATAGGACGGCTAGAGTAGTTTTCTGTTGACTGTGAGAATCGTAATGATTTAGATAAATTATGGTCAATTAAACTATAAATTTTCTTCTCTTCTTAGGAAATCCAATCTATGACAATGCTGTGCCCTGATCATTTAGAAGATGCTGGCCGTCTTGGTAAGTTTTGCTTTCAAGTTAATTTGAAAAAAAGGAAATTCTCATTTAATGTTGAAATCATCTTAAAATCATTACAAGCATTTTATTTATTGTTGCTATTAATCCATAAACCAACATACCAACCAATGAATAGAGCCTATGAGTCATGGTCCATGGTTCAAAAAAATTAAATCCAAAGGTTCTGGATTCACAAAAAGCACAAAAAGCTATATATTGAAATTAAACTGTTTTAATTTGGTTTTTCAGGGGGTGTGGAAGCTCAGTGTTATTTATGTAGTGAAGCTAAAGATTTCTTCGAGATGTTGTTCTGTACAAGTTGTGGCCGGCATTATCATGGCCGATGTTTAGATCCAGCAGTTGATCCAACTTCTCTTGTGCGCATGAGTTGGCAATGTCCAGATTGTAAAGTGTGTCAGGGTTGCAGGTATGTGTCTCCTCTCTTTTAAAATAAGAGATGCATTTCAACTTCCTGGTCAACCTTACGGCATTTGTTCTTTCTTAAATATTGTTGTATTCTTTTTTAAATTATTGTTTTGGTATTTATTTGATGGTTTTGTTTCCAGGCAACCTGGGGATGATAATAAAATGTTAGTTTGTGATCTGTGTGACAAGGGCTACCATACATATTGTCTTGAGCCACCCATGACGACCATACCAAAAACAGGCTGGAAGTGTGTGGTAAGAGAACTTAAGATGAATGAAACCTTTTTATCCTTTTTTTTTAAATTAATGTCACTTCAATTATTCTTGTTACTGAAATTAATACTAAGATCATTCTTCTACTGTAAGTAAATGATTGACTTTTTTGGTTTTGAACAGGGCTGCCGTAGGTGTGAGGACTGTGGTTCTAATACTCCAGGCGGTGGTCCAACCTCAAGATGGCATCGGCATTACACAGTATGCGACAGCTGTTACCAACAAAGAAACAAAGGGTTGTTCTGTCAAATTTGTAGTCGAGCTTACAGGCAATTATCAGATGTTGCAATGGTACAGTGTGATGCATGTGAGAAGTGGTTGCATGCTGAATGCGATAATGTTACTGAAGATGCATACAGGAGAATAACAGCCAAGAAAATGAGTTATTTTTGTCCACAGTGCAAGGAAAACGGTGAAGATCATGCGGTGAGTAGGCTCTTGTTATTGATCTTATATATATTTTTATATATTTTCTTTATTTTTTCCATGCATAATTTTGGTTGTCACTTTTTATTTTTATTATTTTATTTTTTACTTTTTATTATTATTTTAGGTTAAGTGTAAAAAGGATACATTAAGTGTATCCACTTTTGCCCCAGAGTAATTCTGTTGTACATGGTTACTCTATCAAATTATCTAAAGTCACTCATTGTATGTTGTGACAAAGTGAATATTTTTGTATATGTTCAGTGAATGTCAAAAATCATGCTTATTACTAGTACTAATTTCTTGCCTACTATATTGCAACTGTTTAATTTTGATTCTTATTTGGACTAATGATTAACCACATTTATACCTTTTCAGATTTTAAATCACAAAAACAGCTTATCATTTGATGTATCATCAATCAACGATGTCGATCCAACGATGTTAGGCAGTGGTGACGAAGATAAACGTACTCTAACATCAGCAGCAATTGGTCGTATTACACCATCACCAATGGATGAAGACCTGAACCTTATTCACAGTAGCATTGTCACTAACATGGATGATTTGCCTGGACTTCGACCTTTTGAAGATTCATTGATGGATTCACTTGATAGTGATAGTAAACTCCCCCTGGATGAAGAGATGGAAGCAGTTATGAAACCAGAGTTAGACATCTTTGATCCATCAACAGGATTACCAGAATCTCCGCCAACATCTGATCACACAAATGAACCAAAGGCATTGCCAGTACCAACCTACCGCCACTTGGGTTTCACGCCACCAAAGACAGGAGGGAAAAGGAAACTGGGACCTAGATTAAAGGTGAGAATCGAAAAAAAAAAGAAAGAAAGAAAAACAGACAAAATGCTAATATTTAATGAGGTTTTTCCAATATTTACATCAATATTAATATTAATAAATGTTTTTTAACAGTCTAAAACCAATAGTACACCGGCCAGGAAGAAAGCAAAACATGGACGACCTGGACGACCACCAACAAAACTGAAGAAACAGGCTTCTGTGCAACCATCGCCAGGAAAAGAAAACTTGGTAAATAAAATAGAAATTGTATATTGTACTATATTTGAATTGTCAGTGAAATCTTCTGTTTCAAAGTATATGGTAATAGTACAACATTGCACAGATTAATCGATAACCCAAACACACACATTATTTAATGCAATGTTGATATCTTCCAGTCTGGTGTTGCCAATGCTGCTGATAATGCTACCAAAGAAGAAGAAACAGAAGGACTACATACCACTGTTGTGCTGTTCTCATCTGATGACAAGTTTACTAGTGAACAAGACATGTGTCTATGCTGTGGTAGCTTTGGCAAGGGTAGAGAAGGACAGCTTATTGCATGCTCACAGTGTGGTCAATCCTATCATCCTTACTGTGTTGGTGTAAAGGTAGGCTGATATTAGCTGTTGATGTTTGTTTGAATAGTTCACGGTTCACGGTTCAGTGTTTGATTGGTAGTCATGCCTTGCATCTAAGCTGATGATTGTTCAATGATGGAAATCTTGATGGTGAACATGTTAGAGACAATGATCCACAGGTATCCATAAATGCATGGCTGCCTTTGGAAATGATGTTGGGAACTGTAAGGGAGCCTAATGATTTTTACCATTATATACCATTCTCTTATTCAGACCTCAGAGCCTTCTTAGTTTCCTAATGGAAAATGAAAGGGTCTGGTTGGAGAAGATACTGTATGACCCAGAATCTTTGTCATAAGATATATGCTTGCTGAGAGAATTTTTGAACAGATCATTTGTTTCCTACCAGAGTCCTTAAATTTTCATTGGGAAACTATTAATTGGGAAGTATTTGGGTTGAAGAATGAATAATGTACCTTCTTTCACTGCCTATTGACTGTCTTGAGAAACAATCTGAAAATTGCAATAAGCTTATCTCTTGGGAATAGGTATGTTTGTAAACAATATTTGTATAATGTTGAATTTCTTGTGGCTTCAGGTGAACAAGATCATTCTGTCTAAGGGTTGGCGATGTCTTGACTGTACTCTATGCGAAGGCTGTGGCAAAGGAAGTGATGAAGCAAGATTGTTACTCTGTGATAGTTGTGACATTAGTTACCATACATATTGTCTTGATCCTCCACTGGAAAAAGTACCTCAAGGAGGATGGAAATGCAAATGGTGAGTTTTACAGTTAAATTAACCCCTCTAAACCCCTATGATAAGGGTAATTTCCCAGGCTAAACAATCCCATTAGGGTTTCTTGCTCTAAATTGATGTTGTTTTATTTGTAGGTGTGTTTCATGTTATGACTGTGGTACTAAAACACCAGGCCAAGAATGTGAATGGCAGTCCAACTACACGCAGTGTGGGCCATGTGCTAGTAAAATCACTTGTCCAGTTTGTAATATCAAGTACAATGAGAATGATCTTATGATTCAGTGTCTTCATTGCGATCGGTAAGATTTGTTATAGTTAGATAATATATTTACAAGTAGATTTGATGATTGAAGAGTTTTCTTGTCCTATTATTGATCAGTGAATCAATTAATGAGTCAATCAATCCAAAGAACTGTATTGGAAACCCTGCAGGGACCTGATGTAGGAAAGGTTGCTGCATTGCTTGTGTTAGGGGCTTGTGCATAAAATGTTGACAATATTAGCCAACTACCATACGCTTAGAATAAAAATGGAATTATTGATTGTATAAGGTATTTAGTTAACTTTTTTTTCTTTGTGTAGATGGCTTCATGGATCCTGTGACAAGCTTCTGACCGAAGAAGAAGTTGACAAAGCTGCTGAATACGGATATCACTGTTTATTTTGTCGTCCAAAAACCAAACGTGCACTTGTGTGCTTGAGTGGTATGTCCACATCTTCTACATCTTCGTCTTCTTCGTCAACTGCACGCTCACTCTCCTCCTTCTTCTTTACCACCTCTGGTACGAAACCACTAGGTTAGTGCCGTGACTGGTGTTGTGGCCTAATGGGTTTTGCTGTGGCCTGTGGTTCTGGTAGGGCTGGTTGGGAGTGTAGTTCTGTTGTAGTTTTGTCTGGTTGTAGTCGTAAATGTTTGGTGGAAGCATTTTTCTCTAGTGGTTGTTATGAAATTACTTTTATTGTTGGCAAGTACATGTAGTTATGTCGAGTTGTATTGTGGTTTGTTGGTGGTTAGAGCTGTAGTTTGTTGGTGTTAGTTGTAGTGTAATTTTGTAATTGTGAAGTTTGGTAATCACTATCTTCAGACTTTGGTGGTGATGCATATATAGTTGTTTTATGGCAATCCTGATGATATGTTTAGTGTGGTACCAGTAATCTTTTTAGTGCTGTTATGGCTGTGTTTGGTACATTTGGTATTGCTGTYGTGATTGTTTGTGCCTTGTAGTGTTTTGTAGTTGTTTTGTGGRTGTTATATTTTTGGCAACTATGGTGGTATAATTGTTGGTGATGGGGTGYGTCACATCCACCTTTCCTACTAACCCATAACTGAAACCATAATGTAACTGGTAAYTGGCTTTAAATGCATTGCAGAATTCTCTTCTTCTCACTCTTTTCTTCTATCTTAACTTTCCTCTTTCTTCYATTTCTTTAATTTAAGATAAATTKGRATAATTATATTTTTTAATTATGCTAATATAATATGATATTGTAAAATGAAATGCTAAAAATAAGATACTAGAATGCATGAACTAAAACTACATAAGCTATAGCCACCACATGTTAGAATAACATCAAGGTTTTCACTAATGTTATTATTAAAACTACATAAGCTATAGCCACCACATGTTAGAATAACATCAAGGTTTTCTAAATAAGATTTTAATAATAACATTAGTCATTTGATAGGGAGCAAGGACTCCTGTCTCGATCAGAAGACTTTTTTCTCAATTGTTTATTTTTTGGTGTGGTGGCATTTCTTTACATTTTTTTATKTCTCTTTTTGAATGGTATATCTTTAAAAAACAAAAACAACAGAWGATTTGTCAATTTTAAACAGGTTTTTGACAGACAAAAAAAAATTATGAATTCTTTGTGATATTTTTAAAACTGTTGATACTTCAATTTTAGGCCCACCATCTCCCAGGGCAACTGCTTTACATCATTATCGACCACAGTTTTCATCAGAGAATCATCCACCACAACCTCAGGCAAAGCCAATACATCCCTGTCAAAGACTGACCAACCACGGCATTGTTGAAATGAAACTATCCCATGATTCTGTGAGAGGAGCTTTATCATCTGGTTCCCATGGCAACACAGAGGTTGACAATGCTTTCTTAACGGACAGTGGTATCAAACAAATGAATCGGTTGAAGCTACCAGCTTATAGTCGGAAGAAAGTCAAAGTAAAAGGCAGAGTGAAACCAAAGAAAATGGGTCTGGCAGGCCTGGATAAGATGGAAATGTTAAGTCCGGATRGTCAGACAGAGCCACTTAAAGCATTCAACTTTGAAACAAACATGATTGATCAGAAAAACAGCGAKTTTGATCAAAAACCTGGCCGGTCAAGGAGTGGTTTTCGACCTGGTGTGGGAGGCTTTGTTGTGAAAGGGCGTGGTTCTGGTGCTCGCAAGTTTGTTGGTCGAGGTGCAAAGATGCCAGGAAGAAAGAAAAGTCAAATGGCTGGTTTTCATAGAGGGCCAGGTCGACAGGTACACATTCATATCATGTTTTCCTGACAAGGCTTGCACTGAAATATTTCAAACTTTTTTGACCTATGTGTATATATTTATGCATTAGATTCTTATTCCCACTTGATCATTCATTTTCAAAGTGTTAAAGCAAAGGGAAGTTTGAAAGAAAGAAATTTGAAATATGAGTGTTCCCTTTTTGAAATGATTCATTATTATTTTTACCACCTGATATGGTATATATCTATTTTAGCATGGTGGATCCTTTGGTAACACCAATTTGCCCAACTTTTTCGCCCAGCAGCAGAGTTCYCTAGAAGCCATAATGGATTCATCAAGTAATGAAGCTTGGCAAGAAGATTCCGATATGATGCAATCGACCCCTTTACATGACACATATCCTGACTGGATGCAAGTGAGTTAATTTATAATTTTCAAATAAACTTCAGACAGTTTAAAAGCATTGACAATTGTTTTCTGCTCAGTTTTCGCAATTTTTCCCATGAGATTCAAAGACCAAAGACAGGCGAAAATGTTCTTTGAATSAACAATAGCTATATATAAAAGTTTCTTTGTTGAGGTTCAACCTACATAACTGCTTAACATACAGTGAAAACAAAGAATTGTTCAAATTGCATTTGATTTGGTCAAACATTTCTCCTAGTAATCATATATTTTGCGAAACAGGACACCAAATCAAACAAATACTTTTTAAAAGAGTTTAAGAATCATTATGAGGTCCTTTGTTTGGTGCTCTAGATCAAAATATGTAATATATCCAATTTATGCTACCACAGGAGGCATTCTTTGGCAAAAACTTACTTCACGTCACCTCTAAGAAGAAGAAACCCAAACAAGAATCAGTGGCTTCATCTCAAGAAAGCGACAAAGACCTGAAAGATGACAAAAGTCAACCCAAGAAACTRAACAGCAACCAACCTGGTCATTATAATGTCCCAAACTCCCAGGCATACCAATTCTCTGATGTTACGGGGGAGGGGCAGCTACATCCTCAGGGTGGACATCCAGGAGGGCAACAGCAAGTTGGCTTCTCAAGACAAGATCAACCTGGTGCACCACACCATTCGGTGATGGGTTTAGAAGGAGGCGAAAAGTGAGTTGTTAGAAGTGCTTTCTGTCTTTGTGAAGCTGCCACCGATTTCCGTTATTAATTTAAGGCCATTCCATAGTGGCAAATTAGTTGCACAAACTATATTCGGACGATTTTTGTAAACACGATCTCTTTTAGAGAACTTTAGTGTGGAAGTCTCAAGTACGTTGAAACTTTGATAAAGTCACTATTGCTCTGTCATTAAACAATTTCTTCACCTCAGGGTTTTGGCTAAAAAAGACAACTTAGTCCCAGGTAAATTAATATATTGTTTTTCTTGTCCTTAGCTGGCATGGATCAAATGTTGAAGGGCTACCTGCAGATCCTTTGGGTCTTTCTGAGGAGTTCCCAAATCCAGAAGCTTTGTATCGAAGTTTGGATATGCTAACAGATGATATGTCTTCTGCAGACTGCCAGAATGTTAACAGAGGTATGGTTTCAAATTCTGCTAATTCATATTTTCTTTCGTAAAAGCATTTTAAGGGTCTTATTGTAGTATAACTGAATTAATAATCATGTAGAAATATCTTACCAAGTATGTAATATATTTTTTATTTTGAACCAGATCAAGAACAAGCACATCTCCAGANATTTTTTTTCCTTGGAAAGAAATTTTTAGCTACATTGATGACAATCGCACAACAAAATGTGGCGCCACCAAAAAATATAATTGTTATAGTTATTCAAATGAAAGACGTTGCCAATATTCTATGTATCATTAAACCAAGAGACAACGCTAAAAAGAACCCCGAGTGCACGCTGACAAGCGTCTTGTTAATTTAAGGCCATTCCATAGTGGCAAATTAGTTGCACAAACTATATTCGGACGATTTTTGTAAACACGATCTCTTTTAGAGAACTTTAGTGTGGAAGTCTCAAGTACGTTGAAACTTTGATAAAGTCACTATTGCTCTGTCATTAAACAATTTCTTCACYTCAGGGTTTTGGCTAAAAAAGACAACTTAGTCCCAGGTAAATTAATATATTGTTTTTCTTGTCCTTAGCTGGCATGGATCAAATGTTGAAGGGCTACCTGCAGATCCTTTGGGTCTTTCTGAGGAGTTCCCAAATCCAGAAGCTTTGTATCGAAGTTTGGATATGCTAACAGATGATATGTCTTCTGCAGACTGCCAGAATGTTAACAGAGGTATGGTTTCAAATTCTGCTAATTCATATTTTCTTTCGTAAAAGCATTTTAAGGGTCTTATTGTAGTATAACTGAATTAATAATCATGTAGAAATATCTTACCAAGTATGTAATATATTTTTTATTTTGAACCAGATCAAGAACAAGCACATCTCCAGAATACATCATCTCAGCCTACCAATCCTATTGTTACCGCACCTTCCTCTCAACCAAACCAAAACCTTCTACATCCTTCAAATCGTAACCAAGGTGATCTTGATCTACTCTCTGCATCCATAGATACATTGCCTCATGTAGACTGCCAAGAAGTCGAAGACATTTTTGCCGATCTTGAACTGGAGATGGAACGACGCGAGTTTTACAGCGGTATTGGGCCCGGGCAGGGTGGACTACCTCAACAGGTTTCAAGGACTAATAGTGACGCACCACGTAGTCACCAACCTCAACCAGCGCCTCCACCACCTTATCAACCTCAACATCAGGAGGTGCCACCATTYCAACAAGGCCACCATCCACAAGGAATGGATCCAGCGCTTACTCACTTTGATGCTAATGCCCATCCTGCTGGGTTCCCTTCGTTTGGGCAAGATCGTGAGAACTTTCCAGGACGGCCGGGTGTGAGACCACAGCAGGCTGGTCTAGGGGGTGGTCCCCAGTATGGATTTGACGCAGAGCACGATTTCACCAAAAGAACTGATCTCGACTTGGCAAGTGATTTACCTCGTGAAAGAAGAAGGGCACCAAGTCCTCGAACTGATCCCATGAAACAACAGCAAAAATGGCAAGAAGATGAGAAGCTAGGAGATACGGCAACCATTTCTCCGGTTTTGTACGCTAACCTGGAACACACAAATTTGCARAAAGAATATCCAGGTATAWWAATAGGACGAATGGACGTTTATGCGAAGAAATAATGACAGGAATGTAAGGTTCCTTATAAACTAGTTATACTGAATTACTGTTTTATGTTTGTCAGACTGGCCAAACAGGTATAGAGCCATTGCAAGGYTATGGCGAAAGTTGTCTGTGGAACAAAGGGAGCCTTATAGGGTAGGTTAATTATTTCATGTTCTTTTTTATGTCCTATTTCTTATTTTTTCGACATCTTTTACAGCTCAAAGCAAGAGACAACCGAGTGCGTTTAAAGGATCAAGGCAAAAGGGTAAYGATATAGTTTTTAACAGGCGTTTGTTTTTCTTTTAACGATTCTCATAGTTYCATTTCTTCTATTGCAGCTCTTGCTTGAACAAAGTAAAGAAAAGAGAGGGAAACCTAATGTTCCAGATGTACCTGAGTCTCCAGCTTCAGAACCAATGACTCCCAATCCAGTCAACCTTAATGTGATGCAAGACCCTGTCCCATCGAATCAAATGGATCAGCAGCAAAATATTTTACCGTGTGATGCTTCAGCAGAGAAGGATCAGCACAATATGCCTGGTCAGCCAAACCCTGGTCCATTCATTCAAGCGGGATTTCCGCAGGTGGCTCATTCGCCCCAATTTCAACAAGAGCAGCCACGATGTGCAACACCATTGACACCTATGTCAATAAGTGGTACAACGCCTCCAATGACACCAACTTCTTTTACACCAACCTCGCCTTTGTTTGCCTCGCCGAGAATGAACGCTATGCCTGGAGGAAAGGGAACTAAAACTTCTAAATCCAAAAAGACGAAAGAAGATAAAGAGAAAGATAAAGAAAAGAGGAAGCAAAAGCTGCTGATTCAACAGCAACAAGAACGCGAATGGAAATTRCTGCAACAAAGAAGGCAACTAGAGCAACAAAGACAACAGCAACAGTCGCAACAAGAAACCAACCTTTTACGCCAGGAAGTCAAGCGTACACAGCAAGTTAAAGGGCTGAGAGCTCTGGAAGATAAAAAGAAAAAGTCGCCACAGCAGAAAATGGTAAAGAAGCCACAAGAATTTGTTATGGGCGGTAGGACTGACAGTCATGATTCTTTTACCTCAAATGAAACTCCTCAGCAGTCGCCTGCTGTGTCAATTCACAGTGATGATTCATTGCCTTTGATGAATGCACCTCCTATAGATACACTTGAGTCTGTCCACGTCATGAACAATAGTAGAGACAGAAGGGCGTCCTTACCGAACTTGGCTATGTCACAACATGGGCTTGAGAACGTGCGACCTCTATCGCCTATAGCAAACACTCAAGATCGCCAACTTGTACGATCATTAAGTCAGCAACCTTCACAAAGCTCATGGAATGATTGGAGTAATGATGCATCAAAGCRAGATCAAGGCAATGCATTGTGGTCCAACACACTGCAACAACCACAACCTATGAATGAGCAAAACAAGACCAACTTCTCACATGCAGGTGTTGTTAGGCAAAATGCTCGACACCAAGCATCTGATGATAGTTTTATGCCTCAACAGAGTTCGCAGCAATTGGCAGAAGGCGCTCATGGTGATCCATTTCAATCTGACCAACAGTGGAAGTCCAGTGTTCCTGATCCACAAGACCTGCAAATGACGTCTGGTGTACCTAAACAGACCAGTGGTCCCAACAACTCGGTGCAAATGCCTCATCAAGAACACCCTCAGGCTGATATGGATAACATGGCGTTTCATCAGCAAACAGTGGTGAATGAACAACAGGCTATTGCGCACAAGCAACAAGACATTCCTCATCAATGGCACCCTGAAATGCACCCAAATCACCCACAGRCAGTTCCTCAAGATCATATGGGTATGATGCAGCAGAATGTTCCACAGCAACAACAGACACCCCTTATGCCTCAGAATCAAGGCCAACCACGACTACAACACCCAGACCTTTCTCGTCAACAATCGTTTGAGTTTCCAGGCTGGCAAGATAATTCGTCAGGACCTACACCYATGACATTTCAGCAGCCACAAATGCAGCAGGCACCACTCCAACAGCAACCACATCAACAAGCACCAATGCAGCATGGCCCTCCACAGCCAATTCAACCCGTACAGCCTTTGACATCAATGAACAACACTTCACAGAGCCTTACTATCCAACAACAAACACAACCAGGAATTTCACAAGTTCCTATTCAGCCAGGTCCACCTCCTCCCCCTCCACCACCTCCATTGCCACCCCAACAACATGGTTCAAACCTGCCTATTTCAAGACAACCTCCTGCAGACGAACAACAACAGCAGCAACAACTTGAGATGCTCCAAAAGCAACAAAGAGAACAGCTTATGAGAGCACAGCAACAGCAGTTCTTTCAAATGCAAATGCAGCAACAACAGCATTTGTTACAACAGCAACAACAACAGCAGCAACAACCTCCACTGGCAGTCCAACCACCTTTTGCAAGACCACGAATGAATCAGGTTATTAATACTAAAGATATGCCGGAAATCGAAAGTGAAGAGGAACATCAAGAACGACTGCGATTCTTGTACAGACAGCGTCAATTACAAAAACAACACATGCAGATGCAAGCACAACAGAGCATGTTCCAGCAGCAGTGGACGGGACAGACCGTGATGCCTGGTTTGGTACCAAATGATCCTGGAAATCCCCAGGGAATGCCACCTATTAGACCGCAGCCCACACCAGATATGATGCAACAGCAGCTGTTAATTGAATATCAAAGGAGAATGAATCAGCGTCATGATTTGGGCCAGCAAACACTTCAATTTGATAAGGTCATTCAAGATCTTCAGCAACAGCAAGGAATGCCAGGACCAACGGGAAATCAACCGCAGCCCCCTTTTATGGAGGTTTCGCACCAACGTTTTGCGTTAAGGCATCCAAACCCTGGTGTTCAAACTGCTCCCATGGGCTCAATTGTTCCAGGTCAAGTGCCGATGTTCGGTGTGGATGGTCAGCAACTTTACAGAATGCAGATGCAGCAACAAATGATCATGCAGCAGCAACCACATCAGAGACTTCTAATGCAGAAGCCGAATGCCCCACCAAATACTGCACCTAAAGAAGGTTTGCTTGAGAAAGATCCCCGCTCTACACCTAGTAAAAGTCAGCCACTGTCAAAGCGCAGCGAGTCTAGTGCAAAGGGTGTTGAAGAAGCATCTGAGGTGACCAAAGATGRCAAAGGAAAATCGAATGAAACAACTGCCAATAAGGAAGCAAAAAATGTTGTGAGTGAACTGGAAAACGAAAATCGAGAAGTCAAAGATGAACCATCCAGTGGTACTGATGCAGATAACCAAAAAGATGGAGATGTTCCCTCAGCGAGAGAACTGGATGTAACCACAGAAAAATCAGTTGATGATTCTTCATTGCAGCCCAGCGTAGAATTCCACTCTGTAGACGGYCATTCTGATGAAAAGGCTTCTCAAAATGATAACATCATAGACAAGCCTGGAAATGATGACCAAGTTGATGAACACATTGATAATCAAGAAGAAAAGAAAGGGGAGAACGAAAACATGAATGATGGAAACTCCCTTGAATTAAAGAAGGAAAGTTCAGCTGTAATGAAGAGTACAACTAATGATGAAGTTGCTAAAGGCGATAATATCAGTAAAGAGCAAGATCTTAGTGTGTCTGAAGAAACGTCCCAACCCAAAGCAACCACCGAAGAAAATGCCCCATCTGTGTCTGGAAAGCAAGCAACAGTAAATCAACAACCAATCACTACTCGACCAAAACCCCAAGAACCTTCAGGAACACAACAGATTCAGCCTCCTCCTGTATCGGCGCCTCATTCCACATCTTTAGCGCCATCTTCGAACCAGCAACAAGCTATTCACCAGCAACTGGTTGCTACTCAGCAGAGGTTTTTCCAAATGCAGCAACAGCGTCAAATTATGATGCAACAATATCAGCAGCTCCAGCAACAACTCCAGCAGAACCAAAACGATCCAATGATTGGTGCACAGTTGATGGGTCTACAACAGCAAGGCCAGTTCCTTCAACAGAATATGCTGCAGGCATGGCAGCAAATGCAGATGCTCCAGCAACAAATTCAGGCATCGGGGGGATTTCCACCTCAGCAGGTGATGCCGCAGACCTCTATGCAGGGTCCCTCTCCAGGGCCTATACAAGGTCAACAGTGGCAAGGACCCATGCAAGATCAGCAGCTTGGAATGATGCCACAGCATCCAGGAATGATGAATAAACCAGGAATGATGGCTGGACAACTTATGCACCCGGATGGATCACCATCTCCTAAACAGGTAAGCAGTTCTTTTTGGTTGAATCGATAGTTAATAAGTGCTTTTCTTTTAAGGACACATTTGTTTCGTGTCATGTAGACATCACTATCTGTTCGCTATTCTGTAATGATTGGAAAGGTCATGAATTAATAAGAATGAAAAACGRAKMGGTTTTTGGTTTTCAGTGTAATTTAACTTTCTACTAGGCAACAGTTTATCTTGATTGATGCCAATATTTACATGCTTCAATTTGTAATTATATATTTTGTTTTATAAGGAGAAGCCAACTAAGAAGACCAGAAGATCTCGTGCTAAAAGCAAAGATACATTTGTACCTCAACCACCTTTACAAGATTGGATGAATCCTCAACCTGCACCTACCAAACCAAAAGGAAAAGGAAGAAAAGGCAAAAAGCAAGCTCAGGAGGAACAATTTCAAGATCCAGAACTCCAACTTCAACAACAGCGATTGCGGCAGCAGATATTACAACAAATGGAACAGAGACACCGGATTGTTCAGCAACAGCAGCAGCAAGGTATCGGTCGGGAAAACCCTGGCATGCTTAACCATCCCGAGATGTCTGGCTCACCTCATGATCTAGGTCCACCAACACCTCAGTCTATGGATGGTGTCACACCTCAACCAATCGGTCATCCTAACCAACCTCCACACTCCTATGCACCAACTCCAGCTTGCTCTGCGGCAAACAATGCCCCACAAGTAGGTGACCCACATTTGAATCAACAAATGAGTTCTCCTTCCATGGGAATCATGACACCTGAACAAATCAATCTGTCCACTTCACAGCTAATGAATAGTGCTCTAGGATTTCATGGCAATGCTACACCGCCTGGACCGCAAGTCAATCCTGTAAGGCCAACGCCTTTTCCGTCGAGCTCTCCATCGCTAAAYCATCCCATTGGAGGACCGCATTCGCGAAATCCTAGACCAAACACGCAGCCTCAACGGTTCCCTACTCCAGAACGATTTCACAACTTTCAACGACAGCAAGGACCCAAAAAACAACCTGTCGTACAGTATGTTGCTGATAACAATCCCTTCAGCGATGATTTCCAAGCTGTACAACAGGAAAAACCACAGCAAAAGATATTTCCCAAACAAGAACCAGTTGATGATTTGCCTTCGTCATCTACGAAACCCGAAGCAAAACTGCAACCTCCCACTGTTCCTGACGTTCAACATATTTCATCTCATATTCCTACTTTGGATGTTCCAAACAACATACCGTCTATTCAAGACAGCCAGACTTTGAACAGCAAGGAGCCCATTATACCCGACAGTGGAGCTAACACACCTTGTGAAACACCTTGCGAGTCCACCGTTGATGTGAAATGTGAGAAGATCGATGATTCAAGCAGCGCTGATAACCTTTCCAGCGAACARTCAACAGAACTTTCGAATACAGAAAACAAGAAAGGAGTTTCCAGTCAAGCCCTTCAGAAGTTGGAATCTATGGTGGCTGATATGGGTGGAGAGGAAGGAGCTCACCTTCAAGGAGATGCACTAGACAGTGAAATGTGCTTTGATCTGTTTAATACAAATCCTGACGAGGAAGTTGCTAATCTCTGTAGCCCGACAAATAAAGATCAACAAATGATTTCTTTATGCAAATCTAGTTCTCAGGCGAATTCWGTAGCTTCGCTAGAATGCCATGAAGAAGTGCCTTCGTTTGTTTCACCTGTGCAAGATGGAAACGCTGATAAGTCGGACAACAAAGACATCTCTCAGGGCAACTCTCCTGCTCCGCAATTATCTGAAAATGTTCTYGAAGATTCATCCAACCTTGAGGAAGTATCATTGCTACCTAGCGCGAATGCTTCAGTTCCAAGCGAGAACACTAATAATTTAAATGGACAGGAAAACGACTCATTCGATGTGGGGAGTGATATGAATCAAAGTCAATCTTTATCGTCATCAGATTTGAGAACTGCTATATCCACGGAGTCCATCTTAAGTTCTCAAGAAATCCATCATCAGTCAATAGCATCATTATCATTAGCATCAGATAAATCCACTGTAACATCTTCGATCGTGTCAGGAGCTGACGTTACCGTCTCGTCTGTATCGTCTGGCGTACTAGGAGGCCATCTGCAGTTACCAATGGAGTCCAGACCCACTGAAGGAGATATGGCTCTGCTTGGTCAGTTTGCCACACAACAAACTGAATCAACGTTCAGCATGAGCCAAACAAGTCAAGAAATTCCAAGTCATCAACCAGATCACGGTGCAATGTTACTGTCGGGAAGAGATCCTATGCTCGGTGCTGCCAATCCAATGCTATCTAGCAGTAGTAGCAGCAGCAGCAGTACCAACACCGCCATGCTCAACCCTGCGCCTACACAAAAGTCTCCTTCCAAGGCTAAGACTAAAGTCAAGCGAAGCAGAGCTGAAMCGAAAACACGCGAGACATTGAAGGAAGAAGACATCATCAAACGAACATTACAAGAAGCAAGACGGCAGGAGTACGAGAGAAAGAAACGCGAATACGAGGAGCAACAGCGCAAGAAACGAGAGTTGCAGAAAGAACTACGCCAACAAAAAGCCAAGGAAAAAGAAGAAAGAAAACGTCAACGACTATTGAATTCCCCCAGCAAGTTAAAATCCAAGGAAAACCACGTGCAAAAGCTGCGCAAAGGTGACAACGACTTAGCAGTCATTACTAAAGAATCGTTACCTTTGTGTGAACCAAAGCTTATATTGACGCACGCATTGATGCATCCTTACGGAACGTCACCGTTTAACGGGCAGTGTTCTTTGAAGGGCGCTCTTGGGAACGCTCATGTCGATAATACTCACGATTATTACGCAAAATTCCCCACGCCAAGCCTTGAGCTAGTTTTGAAAATCAACCAACAAAAGAACCTCGTAAACGGTGATATCGGCACTGATGGGCTTGACACAAAAGATTTCATCAAATTCCGTGAAAGTGATTTGCCTATTAAAAGAGCACGGCACGCTGTCAACGAGATCGTTTCAGGCGCTCCATCGTCGGGACTCAGTAATATGAATTCGTTATCATCATCACCAGATACTTTACAATATGTCGCATCTTCATCTCCAGAGTCTGACCCAGTTAACAAACCTCTAACGCCGAAATATTCTGCCCTGGACGAAGTTAACAGAAGTAACAATGATTCGCCAGTCTTCACTCCCATCAACCCTATTAATGTSAAAACTGAACGTGTTTTATCGAATAGCAGTTGCAGTGGAAGGACTAATTCTACAACAACAGATTCAAAAAAGGACATTGAAGCAGTAACGTCTAGTAGAATGGGACCGTCACTTGGTTTAGATCAAGATATTGATGACTTAGATAGTATAAATGTAACCTTAACGCTTTCTCCGACTTCGGAAATACGGGTTTCGGAAACCGTTGCTTCCGTCGCGGAGCTGATAGGATGTTCTCCGCCGAGACCTTCGGACATTGTTATAGAACCATCTTGGAAAACTGGGGGACCTATCKCTACTKCTGTACCTACCGCTTCTGTAGGTGGKCATGTGTTCTCTCGCAGTGCACAAGGACTCGTCAGTTCGTCTCCGAAAGAAATCGAAAATTTACCAAAATCACCTTAYCCTTATTCTCAATTCAATCTCGCTTCGACGAAATCGGAACCTCAACGGAAGGCTTCTGATGGACCTTATTGTAGACATTGTGATGTTCTTATTATCGGCATTGGCGTTATTCGTGGACCTCCGGATATGATCGATTCKTCTTCGGCAGAGATTCGTGAAGTCAAACTTGACGATGCGTCGAAATCCGACACGAACTCGGGAAGTACGAACTACAAAATGTATAGCATCAATGTCGAGGCGGACGAGCGRAGAGACTGCTTTTGYTCTGARCCTTGTTTGAAACAATATTATTCTCTACTGGAAGCTGGCCGATCACGGACTAAGACCGAAAATCCAGAACAGCAAMGAGATAACGCAACTGCACAAGGAAATATCACGGCTGATCCTGAACAAGATCTGCGAGGCTCKGCACAAGCTGAAGGCTTACCAGTAACATCGATGGTGAAGATTMGRCGACCRAGCTGGAAGGAAGAACAGGTGGAYGGCGTAAGTACATCAATTGACATTTTATGGACCTCTTTTACTTGTTCCTATATATTATTATATTTTTCTATCATCCTCTCTGCGTACATCCTCTCTCATTCTGATAGTTTGATTTTTTTATCAACGTGCACTTGTTACAGCCTACGAACTAATGCTCTTTCTTCTCTTAGGAACTTGAAATGAAGCGTCGAAGGGAAATCAAATGGAGAAGGTGGCAAGCAATCGACTTTGTTCAGAAAGCAAAGGCAGACTTATCGGCTGATGAAATATCGGAGGTTTGTCCAGTGGTTGTCGTGTATCAATTTGTCGATTACAGCAAACAAAATATAGTACAATATAACTCATAGTAGTGCTTGATGTCAGCTGTAAGGTCATCGTATTTCCATTCTAGTTTTCGCTGATTGACAGCATCATTTGCCATGACTGCAGCCACTACAGCAAGAAACACAGCCTCGACAACGCGCGTTATTACAATTGTTTACTGATTTTTTTTTCGTATCCTTGTCTTAGCTGCTCGAAAAGTACGACGCGGTTTTCAAATCACAAGATCTACCAGACGATACACGGCAATGCACCTTGTGCTCWGGGACGGGTGATGGAGATCCGGAAGGACCGTCGCGGTAAGTGTACCCTTCACACGTCTATAGATCACTGGAAAAAATCGCGCGGTTTAAAGGTTGTAAATTTGATGTAAATATGATGTAAGTGTCCAAAATTCTGCAAATTTAATGGAAATCATTTACATCAAATTTACATAATTTTGGACACTTACATCATATTTACATCAAATTTACAACCTTTAAAGCGCGCGATTTTTTCCAGTGTATTCCAGTAACACTAACGCTAGAAGCAATAGTATGAGAACTAACATCACTGTCATCACCATACTATCACTACCAAACCACAACTACAGTTACCACTGTAACACCAGCACTACCACACGAACAGTTTCCACTGAACCACCACTATCACAATACTACTACTACTACTACTATTACGTAATCATTACGACACCCATTTTCCCAGTACCAAACACCATGTTTCAATCACCTCAGTCACAACAGCACTAGTTACTACACCAACATTTCCAAATCAGCACTACCACAGCACCTCTGGCAATCCCAAACAAACATCAACAATGGCTAAGGACACGTTACATTTCCACAACAACAACAAAAAAACAAAATCAATACTTGAATCACAAAAGCGCTCAGACCAACACAACAACTGAAACAAATGCAGCATTGACAGCGGAAGGTGCAAGACATTCACATCGCCACCAATAAAACTAACACTTGTGAGACAACCAAGATAACAATACCAAAGACAAAACTGGCAGAAATAGTAAATAGCAAAGTTGTAACCATATCGATATTGTGCTTTCAGATTACTTAATCTAGACGTTGATGTGTGGGTCCATCTAAATTGTGCTCTGTGGTCATTAGAAGTTTACGAAACACTGAATGGAGCMYTGATGAACGTCGGGTCGGCGATCAAAAGAGGGAACGCAACGGTAAATAGAATGACCTCAAGAAAGCTTCAATGATGTCCAGCATTGCTTAATTGAAACTATTTTTCTTTSCAGGAATGTTGTGTTTGTAAGAAGACCGGAGCGACTGTTGTTTGTAATCACGTCAACATCTATAATAAGATACGGTGTACAAGCACCTATCACTTCGGCTGTGCACTCCATAAAAACTGCATGTTCTTCAAAGATAAGGTGACATAATACAAAATGATTTATTATTTATATGTGATTCCATTGAATTCATGGAACAGCAGTGAAATCCATAGATAATGGTAACTTATAATTAAAAATATGAACCCGCGATAAGGTATCATTCTCTCTTGATGTCTGATGATCGGCTAAACGTGAAACTCCGAGTTACAGTAAAATGAGAATTCATTTGTTTTATGTTTGATTCATATAGATTTAATTTTAATATAACATTAAGTGTACTGATAGAGTGGACATACTAAATCCGTGAAACAAATAGTACTAATTAATAATAAATAGTGTTAATTAGACAATAAAATACAAAGGAGTTCAGCTTATTTAAAATTATTATATACTATTTAACTTTCACGGATTAAGTGAGTTCACTCTAGAGTACAAACACTAAAAGCGTGCAACGCTTTACACTATTTACTGCAAAATAGTGCTAATTAAACAATAGAAAACAATAGAATTAGCATAATTTAGCAGTATTTAGTAGTATTTATGTTGCACAGTTTTAGTGTTTGTACTCTAGAAGATTGTACTTATTTTTTCTTGTATTTTAGACCATGTTGTGCGAGGAGCATAAACCAAGTGAYGATAACGAACATCGATTGCCATCTTACGCCGTGTTTAGGAAAGTATTCATCAACAGAGACGAAATCCAACAAATTGCAAGGTATGTTTACTTAAATGTCCTATCGTGTGGGCYAGCACAAGTGMTTTTTACTGAAGGGYCTCTACTTTSTTTCAGTATGCTAAGACACAATCAGGAATCCGGCGGTGAAAAGTTGCAGACGTTACGAATCGGTAGCATTGTTGTTAAATCATTAGGACAGCTATTACTTCATCAGCTTCAAACGTTTCATACAAGAAACGCTGTATATCCGGTACGGTTTATGTAGAGAAGACAGTTTTAGTTATAGTAATGATGGTAATCAGTATACTAGAAACATTAAAAACAACAGCAACAACAACAGCCTACGCCACGCCACCATTATAAACAACAAAAGTAACAACAACAACGTCTCMACTGTTTACACCATACTTAGAAATGGTCGAAGCAACAACAACAACTTAGACGACCATAAACAACAGTAATAACAACAGCGGTATCGCAAACGACATTAGCAACAACAGCAACTCCACAACCAACAACAAAACAACAACAACAACAACACCCACCACCATCAACAGCATCAACAACAACAGCAGCACCATCAACAACAACAACAGCAGCAACACAACCAACAACAACAACAACAACAGCAACACCACAACCAACAACAACAACAACTACTACTACAACAACTACAACAACAACACCAACAACAACAACAGCAGCACCATCAACAACAACAACAGCAACACAACCAACAACACCAACACCACCATCAACATCACCACCACCACCACCACCCACCACCACCATCACCACCAACAACAACAACAGCAACATCACCATCAACAACAACAGCAACATCACCACCATCACCATCACCCACCACCATCATCACCAACAACAATAGCAGCAGCACCATCAACAACAACGGCATCAACAACAACAGCATCACCCAGCATTTGTCATGTCATCTGCTATGCAACATTTTGGTTACTCGCTGTTTGAATTCATCAACAACATCAATAAAACTGTATAAAAGCTATTGTTTTTAAGTAGTGTTTGTCCTTTATAGGTTGGTTTCAAGACTATTCGTTACTATTGGAGTATGAAAGATGTTCGTAAGCGCTGTCAGTATTACTGCACGGTCGAAGATGTGAACGGGATGCCTAGTTTCACGATACGAACTGAGGACAACTCTTGTTTCAAAGGGATATCACCGAAAGGTATGTAGTCGATAACAATTCTTGTTCTTTAGTTCTCTTAAGCAATAGTTGTAGCCTGTGCTCTACTCCGGTCTTTAGGCAAGCKGTGAAAGAGGCTTCAGTTGAAGTCTTTGGAGGGGAAGGAAGCCCGATAAGATGGACTACAAAGGAAAAAAACTGAAGCTATTTACCTCAATAATTTATCTCCATTTCAGATGCATGGAATCAGATCCTGTTACCTATTCAATCCTTACGGAAAGATAGTAATAGTCTCAACCTTTGGCCTTCGTACATCACTGGAGAGGTAATGCTGACACGAATACAGATACCTTACGTTATAACGGACACTTTTAGCATCGAGACTAAGTGTCCGCAATAGGGAGTGAACGCTGTATATAGTGTAGTTATCAGTAATGGAGTAGTGGAGTGTGGAATTGTTCAGTATCTTAAGTGTATTCGTTACAGACAACTCACACATATTCTTCTATTTTATAGGACTTATTTGGTTTGACAGAGCAGTACGTTCTTAGGATCATTGAATCGGTACGTTAGACTTTTATTTGATATAACAATTAATATCTCTAACAAATTATAGTATATCCCATTCAATGACATTCTACTTACGTTAATTGATCCCATAGATGCCCGGTGTGGACTATATGCAGGGGTATAACATGCGTTATGGACCATCACCTATTATGGAATTACCACTAGCAGTCAACCCAACGGGCAGTGCGCGCTCTGAACCACATGTTCGATCCCGCTTTAAAACAAGGTGTGTTTCAGTCATTACAATAGTTCATCAATAATATACTTTTATTCGCGAGTCTGTGTTGCCTTGATGACAATGTTGATGATTGTGTTGCCATGACAATGATGATGATAGTGTTGCCATGACAATGATGATGATTGCGTTGCTATGACAATGATGATGATTGTGTTGCTATGACAATGATGAACATTGTGTTGCCATGACAATGATTATGACTGTTGTTATGGAAATATTGACAGTTTGTGTGGCTGTGGCAATATTAATCACTATACTGTTACTAGTARTTATGAATACCAAGTTTCCATTTTGATTTACAGAACGCGAGCAATTCGTAACACATCTGGATCAACGGTATCGACATCTCGACCGTCTCGTGCTAATGCTGCTACCCCACAGCAATCTACAGACGACACTAATTCACCGTACATGAAACACTTYGTCTACTCCAAGGCATCTCAATACAGAAAGCTCAAGTCTGAGTGGAGGCAGAATGTTGTACTCGGACGCTCAAATATCCAAGGACTTGGATTGTTTGCTAACAGAGAAATCGAACCCAACAGCATGGTCATCGAGTACATTGGTTCGATTATTCGTAATGAAGTCGCTAATAGAAAAGAGAGTATCTACGAGTCTCAGAACCGCGGTATCTATATGTTTAGAATGGATAACGATGCCGTGATCGATGCAACAATGGCCGGTGGACCAGCGCGTTACATCAACCATTCTTGCATGGTATGTGTCATTCCATTTCCTTTCAATTCCCATTTCACCCAGCCTTCTTTTTGTATTCTTATATTTTATTTGCTTATGTGAGGAAACCCATTCATTCCTG